GAGCAGTTGGGGTATGAGCAAAGTCGCTATCTGGGGCATCAGATCTCCGGTGAAGGCCTGTTCACCAAGCCGAAAGATTTGGCAAGTCTGGAGGCGTTGAAGTTTCCCAAAACGCTTAAGGCTCTCCAGTCATTCCTCGGCAGTCTCAACTACGACAATCGCTTCATCGAAGATTTCGCAGTATATGCCACAGTGTTGTATGAGTTCGGAGATTCCGATTTCATCAAGGGTTATTGAGGGTTGCTGGTCTTGGGTACTGTGTACCAGTTGTACCCATTAACCGGTTAACCCGAACCGGTCCAATCCGAACCCACGTTGATTATGGTGATTACGGTAAGTTGTTTACGCCACCGATGATTAGACGAGTAGGATGATTGGATGAACACCGGTGAGTGATGGTTGATTAGATGCACTAGGTGATAGGACGCAGGGTCGCGTGTCTATAACAGTAGGGTGTAAGCTCCAACAATTCAATCACTTTCGAATCTTCATTCTACCCCTCAAGTGCCTTCGCTCCGGTCCCGCCGTCTGCGACGTCCCTCCCTCCGCTTCGTCCGAGCTTCGTGTCCAAGATCCATACCTTCCATCAGGTTATGAGCCCAAGCACCATGTCCTCTGCCCAAGACGCCTCGACCAAGGTCTCCATTGACAAGTTCAACGGGGACAACTACGCGACGTGGAACCGCTACATGCGTGGCGTGTTCCTGACCAAGTCGACGTGGCATGTCGTGAACCGCGAGACGACGCCGAGCTTCACGGACTCGCGGGCCAAGGACGACTACGTCAAGTCGAGCAACATCGCGTTCGGACTGATGTTGCTCCACATGGACGCGGACTACCACCATGTGGTCGACGACTGCGAGGAAGCGTGGGTTGCGTGGACGCGCCTGAAGACGCTGTACGGTGGTTCGCAGAAGGCTGGACGCATCTACCTGAAGCGCCAACTCTTCAGCATGGAGATGTCGGAAGGCGGCAACGTCTTGCATCATTGCAACGAGGTCCTCAACATCAGCGCCAAGCTCAGCAGCATCGGCGCCAAGATGGAGGATGAGGACGTGGCGATCTGCCTGTTGCGCAGCCTCCCCAAGAGCTACGAGAACGTCGTGCTGAACTTGGAGATGAGCAGCGCTGAACTACGATCGCAGGACGTCGTGAAGGTGCTGACGAATGAGCACATCAAGAGACAAGGCGAGAAGACGGCGACGGTGAAGACGGAGAATGCGGCCAAGGCGTTCAACACCGACCGAGAGTCTCGCCAGTGTACGTACTGCGGGAAATTGGGGCACACGATTGACAAGTGCTGGACCAAGCAGAAGGACGAGAATCGGGGCCCAAGACGCGGCGGCAATGGCAATGGCCGTGGACGCGGGGCCAACAATGCCCAGTGGAGGAACGACGACGCCAGCTACAACTACGACTACGGCTATGATCGAGTGGCGTTCGCGGTCTCACTGGAGTGTGGCATTTCGACGGGCAAGAATGTGTCCGGGTTGTGGGCGGTCGACAGCGGCGCAACGCACCACATCTGCAACGACAAGGCCAAGTTCGCTCATTTGATTGAGCGGAATGAAGGCTGGCCGACGGCAACAAGGCGGCCATCATGGGTGTGGGGACCATCGTGGAACGAGTGGTTCTGCCCAACGGCGACGAGCGCGACATCGAGATCAAGAACGCGCTGTACGTCCCAAGCATGAGCAAGAATCTGCTTTCGGTGCCACAGATCAACAAGAGTGGTCTGTTCCAAGTCGTGTTCGACAGCACCAAGATGCAGATTGCGCACAAGGGCTCCAAACAAGTGATGGCGACGGCAAACCTCGTGGATGGACTCTACTGGCTCCAGACGCCTCAGCGATCGGCGAATGCGGCGACCAGTGGGAAGACGGTCGACTTACACGCGCGTATGGGTCACGCTCCGGTGGAGGTGCTTCGCAAGATGGTCGACAACAACATGATCAAGGACGCGAAGGCACCTTCCAAGTCGAGTGGACCAAGCGTGTGTCGCGGCTGCCAGCAAGGGAAAATGGTCCAGAAGCCGTTCCCAAGCAACCGTGACAAGCGTCACTACGACACGTTCGAGCTGCTCCACTTCGACGTGTGCGGCCCCATGGAAGAAGAGTCACTGGGTGGCAGCAAGTATCTGCTGCTGATCGTGGACGAAGCCAGCGGATGCATGAAGGGGTTCTGCCTGCGTGCCAAGTCGGAGAGCGAGGACTGCATCAAGATGTACGTCACGAAGGTGCAGACGCAGTTCGGCAAGAAGGTCAAGTTTGTGCGGCACGACGGAGCCCGTGAGTTCGCGACCAACTCGCTCAAGGCCTTCTACGAAGTCGAAGGCATCGAGCAGCAAACCACGGTTCCGTACGCGCACCAGACCAACGGCACGGCAGAACGCGCCATCCGGACCATCGTCACGATTGGCCGCAGCATGCTGCATCATGCCAAGCTGGACAAGAGCTTCTGGGCTGAGGCGGCCATGACAGCCATCTACGTAAAGAATCGTCTGCCATCACCCAAGATCGAACACAAGACTCCGTTCGAGATCGTTTACAAGTCCAAGCCGAGTGTGAAGCACATGCGTGTGTTCGGATGCCAGACGTACATCCTGACGCCGAAGGAAAGACGGCGCAAGTGGGACCCCAAGGCTCGCGCCGGGCTGTTCCTCGGCTACGAAGAAGTGTCCAAGGCGTATCGAGTTTATGACATCGAGGCGGGGCAGGTGGTTATCAGTCGCGATGTCAACTTCGATGAGTCGACCTTTGGACTTTCGACGCATACTTCGGATGAAGACGTCGATGATACTGTGCTGGACTTGGACGCGCTGGACCTGGACGACAACGATGGACCGCGCCAAACGAGCTTCAAGCAGACGGGGAAGCGCAAGTACCGACCGAGTGGCGACGACAACACTGCCAGAAGATCGCGCCCCGTTCGCCACTGAGCTGGCTTAGAAGAAGCAAGTGCGCCGGACGTATACTCCTCGCGCCGAGCCGACCCCGACGAAGAAGAAAAGTCTGGGGACCAAGATGAAGACGACGACTCGACGCCCCCAGTGTTTTGGCGTGCCAGTGCCAACGCTGTGGAAGCAGCAGCCGATCTATCGGAGCCGACGACGTTCCAAGAGGCTGTGAACGGTCCTGATCAAGTGCACTGGCGCAAAGCGATCCGCGCGGAGCTCAAGTCGATGCGACTGCGTGGTGTGTTTCGAGCTGCCAAGTTGCCTAACGGACAACGCGCCATCGATAGCAAGTGGGTGTTCAAGATCAAGCGCAAAGCGGACGGCTCGATCGAGAAGTACAAGGCGCGCCTCGTGGCCAAGGGCTTCAAGCAGAAGTACGGCATTGACTACACCGAGACGTTCTCGCCCGTGGTCAAGTATGTGACACTGCGCATGGTGATCGCGATTGCTAAGTATTTTGGCTGGCCCCTCGACCAACTCGACGTGGTGACAGCATTCCTGTACGGGATAATGAAGGAGGTGGTCTTCTGCGTGGTTCCGGAAGGCGTCGAACTGGATGGTGACTTCGACTGCCTGGAACTGGTGAAGGCCATCTACGGTCTCAAGCAAGCTTCGCGAGTGTGGAACGAGACCTTCGACGAGTTCGTGTGCTCCATCGGCTTCCAAGTGTCGGCCTTCGATCCGTGCCTCTACATCAAGGTGGTGGACGGTCACTGCGTGCTTGTACTGGTGTACGTGGATGACGTACTGATTACCGGGAGTTCGCCCGAGCTGATCGCACTCACGAAGACCGACCTGAAGACGCGCTTCGAGATGACCGACAGCGGCAAGTGCGCGTTTGTTCTTGGGATCGAGTTGGTGGACGGCCCGGACGGCAGCGTGACCATGTGCCAGCGGCGATACGTGGACGACATCCTGAAGCGCTTCGCCATGGACGAGTGCAAGGCCGTGGTGAGTCCGGTGGACATGAGCACTCGACTGGTTCCAAGCGACGCGGCGACCAAGGTGAACGCTCCGTTTCGCGAAGCTGTTGGTGCTCTGATGCACCTGATGACCGCCACGCGCCCAGACATCGCGTACGCCGTTGGCTATGTATCGCGCTTCATGGAGAACCCCCAAGAGGAACACTGGGTTGCGGTCAAGCGTATTTTTCGCTACCTGCAAGGCACCAAGACGCATGGGCGACAAGATCGACTTTCGTGGCTACTCGGACGCGGACTGGGCCGGCGACCTCGCCGACCGCAAGTCCACTTCAGGCTACACGTTCATGCTCATGAGTGCGCCTGTGAGCTGGGGAAGCAAGAAGCAATGAAGCGGAGTACATCGCGCTCAGTCTGGCTATCCAAGAAGGCAAGTGGATTCATCGCCTGCTATGCGAGATTCTGGCGGCCGCTAATGAGACTGGACCCGAACTCATGATCCGCGAAGACAACCAGTCGTGCATCAAGATGACGAAGAACCCAGTGAACCACGGTCGCACCAAGCACATCGACATCAAGTACCACCGCATCCGCGATGAAGTCAAGCGCGGCGAAGTCAAGCTCCAGTACTGCGAGACTTCTGTGATGCTAGCGGACATCATGACGAAGGCGCTTGCGGGACCACGCCACACGGATCTGACGGTGGCTCTCGGCATTCGTGGGACTTCGCATTGAGGGGGCGTATTGAGGGTTGCTGGTCTTGGGTACTGTGTACCAGTTGTACCCATTAACCGGTTAACCCGAACCGGTCCAATCCGAACCCACGTTGATTATGGTGATTACGGTAAGTTGTTTACGCCACCGATGATTAGACGAGTAGGATGATTGGATGAACACCGGTGAGTGATGGTTGATTAGATGCACTAGGTGATAGGACGCAGGGTCGCGTGTCTATAACAGTAGGGTGTAAGCTCCAACAATTCAATCACTTTCGAATCTTCATTCTACCCCTCAAGTGCCTTCGCTCCGGTCCCGCCGTCTGCGACGTCCCTCCCTCCGCTTCGTCCGAGCTTCGTGTCCAAGATCCATACCTTCCATCAACGTCAGCATCGCGCTCGCCAAAGTGGGGCGGTAACGTAGCAAATTCGTGGCTATCCGGAGGGAGGCCTGACACAGTTCTGCCGACATGCATATCCCCAGCTGCCTCATAGCGAAGGTGTTTTGCACTCCACCTAATGACCATCCTGCTCGTAGATGAACGGACGTCGAGGACGGACAGGCAGTCGATCCAGAGGCACAATAAGTCGCTGCTCCTTTGCGCATTGAATGTGTACCCAACTCCTCCTTATTCACACCACGTCTGCGAAGCTCATCGGCAACAGCGTCGCTTTCTTGCACCCGCTGCAAACACTTGCGAAAGCGCTCATACTGGTTGCCACCAGGAAAGAGGCGGTCGCCACCTTCGAAAGAAGATGTAGCCCAGAACACACCTAGAGCTAGCACGGGGCATAAAGCCGGCCTGAGCGGGTTGGCGTAAATGTGCCTCGGGCCGCGAGGTCTGCTTCCGTCCTGATCGTTCTTCTGATGCGCGAAATAGACGCGTAGCGCGTCTCCGCTCCATTCCATGTGTGCATGACGAATTCCAAAAGCATTCGCCGATCTACACATCAAATTCCAGGCAACAATCATGTACGTCCGCGCGAAAATCATGTCCTTCGATGGGTAGTGTAGTAGCCGCTCGCATAAGAACCGGTATAACTCAAACGATAGAGGATCTTTACCGGTCTTAGCGCGTACTTCACCACGGGCGGCAGCACTTGCCATCTCTCGCTTCAAACCCTTAAAGTACTGACATCTCCTTCTCCATGGTCGGCGACATCTCACGCCCGTAGTCGCGGTAGAGGTTGAAGAGACCAGCCCTGTGCGTGTTGAGGGCGGAGAAGTTTAGGCCACTGCCGTCAGCTTTCTACAGTGTCAGTAGCCAGGCCCCGAACACGTCCACCTGGATGTACTCGAACTGCAGCGGGGGGGGGGACGGATCGCGGTCGAGCAGAGGCTTCAGTTTCTTGCGTATCTGCTGCCCTGAAACGCTCCCTAGCTTCGCTGCAAACGCAGGGGCCACGAGGTGGGCCTTGTTGAGGACGACCCACGCTATGAAGCGGCCGTAGGAGTTCTGGTACACTGCCCGCGACCGCGCGCTTACAGTATTGCTCTTGATCTCGCTAACTTTCCTCGCTAGCTCGTCCCAGTCGATGCTTGCCATGTTTTTGAGTGAGGGGGGAGTGATATGGATTTTTTAATACTGGCGCGGGCATGAAATGTGTCCGGCAAAAGTGGGTGAAACTGGCACTTTTACTGACTCTATACTATATCCCTATTTATGAAATGATTGTGTGGCTTTGCGATTGGAAAATAGCGGACACAAAGTCCTGAATCTCTAGGAATACAGAGTATCATGTCCTACAAATTCTGTAGAATGCAATTTTAGACCTAAAGTGTCATTATCTTGCCGCGTCGAACACGGCCTAAGACTTTGCAGAAGAATCCTAGCCTCGGCAAACAAGTCCAGACTTTGACCAAGAATGCGGAATTTGTCAAGAGCGTGGTGAACAGTCCTCAGGTGAAGGCCCTCGCGAAAAACCCCAGCGCGCTTTCTGAGAAAACCATCAAGAACGTCGCGGTGGAAGTGGCGAAAACCACATCTACAAGTAACAAGGTGGGCGTGAAGGACTGGGCGATGGGTGTACGCTACTCCTTGTTGGTGCCTTTTTTGGTTACTGCGCATATGGATCCTACAAAGCCGACCAACTTAAAAGCTATTAGTTTTTGAAGTTTCCTGAAGTTTTGTGTTCAATTGGTGCTTGCCCTTCCGACCAACTTGGCCGCTCCGGCTTTCACCACCTCCGCATATCAGTGCTGGGTAGCGAGGTAGCGACCAGACTTGCTTTTTGTAGAAGTTCTCGTAGCATCCGTCAATGGAACAAGAGTCACAGGAACGTGCCGTTGTTCAGACAAAGCTAGACTTGATATTACTCTGCATTTGAAGGCTAGACATTTAAAGAGTATTTTTACTCATTCAGCGACAGTTGAAGAGCAATTGGTAAGTAACGTATAATACCAATGCGGCATACTATTCTTGTAGAGTGCCCTCTGGAGCCGAGTACGGCATTGTATTTGATGCCATACTGTTTGTTAGGGTACTCTATTCGATATGGCTACAGCTATGCAGACAGCATGTTGTCAAAGCGTGTTGTGGTTGCATGTTTCATGTACTTCTAGCAGAGCACCTATTCATTGATCCAATCCTCGTCAATAGCAAGTTGAAAGCACGGTAGCGGTCTCGACGAGCTCCTATTCGGTACATGTATACGGAGGTGAATGCAACATACACCATTTACTTGCTGCTGTTCCGCGCGCATATCGAAAAAGCTGATAAGTAATTTAGGCGGGTTATTATTTTCTCACTTTTATGTGCAATCTTCTACTTTAGGATACGATTCATTCACGACCAGAGCCTCACACTCACCCCGTAAAAGCTGACAGCCACCCACGCGACGTGGTCACGGCTGTTGCACCACTGTCGAAACAGGATGGCCGAAACGCAAACCCATCGAATTCGGTCATGCAATCGGGGTGCAGGTTCTCCTTCTACTCTACGCTTCCGATTATTAACCAGTTTTGCGCTGGCAATCCACTCAAAAGATTGCATTTTGATGTCGAGTCGTATGATTGATTGTCTGTGCTCCTGAAAAAAAAAATGGCACGATGTCTTGCAGCGCGATCCATGCCGGAATGGCATCGCAGTTGAGCGCGGTAAGTAGTTACCCAACGCATTCAACATGTATAATATCAACGTGTATGTACAGTCTGTCAGTTCGATGGTAGTCTATTCGGAACGGCACTCTAATAAATGGCACTCTATTTGATGGCACTCTATTGTTATACTATGCCCTCACCATAGGGCGCATACCTTAGGGCATACTATTCGGTATTATACGTTAGTATATGCAACACGCCAGTTCCTAACTTATCCTTGCCATGGCGTCGTCGGGCCTGCTCTTCCAGGGCACCGCGTGGCTGCTCGTGGAGGGGAAGACCACGTTTTACTCGCCTCGCTACAGCGAAGAGCCCGTATCGGTTAGCAGGCAATTGCTCCCGTTCTGGAACCAGCCCCAAGTGGTGCTGCAGTTGGGTCAAACCGAGTATTTGGTGCTCACTTCCAGTCCGGCGGACGCGTCCAAGCGCAGCGGAGACGCCAAGGAGACCAAAAAGTTGCTGCAATTGACCGTGCGACCGCTGGACGACGTGCGCCGCGCCCAATTGTACCAAACGGCAGCGCGGGCTCAAGTGCTCGAGCTGTTCGTGGATGTGGAGCACACGCGTGATCGACTGCTGCGATGTCTGCTAGGAGAGAGGCAGCAGCTGCAGCAGCAGGAGGAGAAGGAGGGTGATATTGAGCCGGGTAAGAGGCTGCTGGACGACGCCTTTGCAGCGTTGGAGAGGGCGCAGCAGAGTGGGGATAAAGTGGCAGCTCTGGGGCTGTACAAGGAGGCGGAGAGGGGGTTCTACGAGGCGGAGAAGGTGGTGCCCGACGAGCGGTCGAGGGAGTTCTTGCGCGCGAGGAGAGGCGACTTGCAGAGGACCATTCGAGGCCTGGAGAGAGAGGTGGATCAGGCGGCTAGGAGGGGGCTGTCGGTTGCTGCTCCTGTCGCTCCTGCTCAAGTGATTGCGGCTCCGATAGCACCACGAGTCGAGGAGGAGGAGGAGGTGAAGGCGCCGCCGACTATGGACATCAGCGCGCGGTTGGAGGAGCTACGTCGGTTTGCTGCGCAGCAGGACACAGTGGAGGTGCAGCAGGGGAATCGGACGGACTTGGCAGCTCGATTGGCGGCGCTGAAGAATGAGAAGGCTGGGCCGGCACCCCCTGTGGATGATTTGGCAGAGCGACTGCACCGACTGCGTGGGGATAATGGGCCGACGGGCGTTGCAACTGCCGTTGGAGGTGGAAATATCGAGCGGAAGAGCGCAGTGGATCGTATTATCGAGCAGGTGACCGACGAGATCGCGTTGGGGATTGAGGACGATGGGGAGGATGATGAAGAGGAGGAGCTGGAGGAGAGTGACAGTGACAGCAAGAGCGAAGTTTCGAGTAGTTCCCTCAGCAGTAGCACAAGCGATAAAGGTGGAGAACCAAGTGAGGAGCGTTTGAGTACGAAGAAACCGTGAAGAGCAGGAGATTGGACAAGATCGAAGGCATGGGACGTTGACAACCTCCCTAAAAATACGGTAAGAAGTCGTGTGGGCGATGCCTTCGTTCTCGTTGCCGTTTGTTTGCTCCAAGGGCTATCACTCAATCTGCTGAGAGCGAAGCAGGATGGAGCATGCTGTCCATCGCGATGGCGAAAGACTTCTGTCAGTGCTGGAATCAACCGTCCGAGACCTCGAGTTGATCGCGACACTCCCGGAGAAAGAACCTACTACAGCCACTGCTGCATTTCAGTCTGAAGCACAGGAGGCCCTGCACCGTCAGGTAAACACGTTGCCGTCCTGGCCCCCTTACTCTAACTCCATGAAGCTAACTGGTGCTCGTTGTCACGATTTCTTCCAGTTTGTCGTGGAAGCTTCGCTCCTCCATTTCATAGCGCTGCAAAGATTGCAAGAAGACGAGCGACCGGAGACGTTGGAGGACAGTGATGATGATGATGATGAGTTGCAGCAGATTGATACGCAGTCGATGCTTTCCGGTCCAGTAGCAACGCGTTTGTTCCCCAAAAGCCTGCATCAGGTACTCAAGAATCTGAAGGTACGCTCCGTATGCTCTCTGATTCCTAGGAAGTGAGTACGTCGCTAGCCATTGAGCTCATCAATTCGTTTGCTCTCGCACAACAGGAAGACCGAACAGCACGGGACGCGCTGCGGAAGCTCAGCTCAACCAGCGTGTCACCGGCGATTTCCCAGTTAACGCAGGCCTGGATGCAGCTAATCATCAACACAGACACAGCTCTGTCCACCAGCTTTGAGCAGGACGAACGGTTTGCCTCGAGCTTACGTGACAGCATGCTACGGCTCCGAGAGGTTGAAGACGATCGTGACCAGTTGGCTTTCGAGCTCGCTCAGGCTCGCGAAGCACGCGTGACCATGTCCCAGAAGTTCACAGCTCAGCGCACTCGTCTGGAAGCTCAACTTCGAGACACCAAGCGAGCTGCCAATGACATTCTAGGCCCCACCGCGCGTGATCGGGAGGAGTATTTGCAAGCAGCTCAGTCCAGCTTCGAGACGCAGAAGTCGAACGCGCATGAGCAGCTCGAATCTATCCAACGCACGATAGTTCGCGTGACGCAGGCCAGTCAACAGGCCGAAACGGACGGGCGAAAGCATGCACAACACGATGCGACCGAGCTGCGCGAGCTTGTAGAGCGCTACGATGAGGATATGGAAAAGCTGGACGCTGAGATCGAGCGAGAGCGAGCCGAACTCGAGCGACTTGATGCCGCGAACTCCAAGTTTGCGACGCACTTCGCCCGCATCGACAAAGACTGTCGCAACATGATCGAGGAGCAGCGTGCTATTGACCTCGCGGAGCGTCTCCGCCGGCTGCGCGAAGCGAATCTGTTCGGCTTCATCCTCAGAATCCAGGCCGTAGTGCGGGGATTCCTCGCGCGGCGGCGGGTGCGTCTGGAAGCCCAGCGCAAGCGGCGCAAGTCTAGGAAAAAAGGCAAGAAGGGAAAAAAGAGAACTACCGGTACCAGTCCGAGGCGAAAGAAGTCCACCAAGAAGACGAGCGTCAAGATCCGTACCAAAAAGCCTTGAGCTGGCGAATACCATTCACCTATTTCTTCTTCTTCTTCTTGCCTCCACCCTTCTTCTTTTTCTTCTTCTCCATTTCAGCCTTGGCCGCGAACTCGGCAGCCTTGCGAGCCGCAATCTGGCGAAGCCGATCCTCTTCCATCTTGAGAAGTCGCTGTCGCTCTTCTTCGAGCATTGCGCGGTCTTGCTCACGCTCCAGCTTCCGCTTCTCCATCCATTCCTCCTGTGCACAGCCACAAGACAGCAAAATCTATCAGTACTACAGCCACAAATCACCGGTCGATTCCAGCGACGTACATCTTCCTGGCGTTTGGCCAGCTTATCCTGGCGCTCGCGCTCTTTGTCCGCAGCCTTCCACTGCGCCTCGCGGAACTTGAGCTGCTGAAGCTGCTGCTGCTCGAAGAACACACGGGTCTTCTTGAGTTGCAGGTCGAGCGAGACAGCGTCTGCCGTGCCGATACGGTTGTTCCCCACGTCCAAACACACCAGCGTGGTGTTGCGAGCAAGACCAAGCGCCAACTGCTTCCCGCCTTCACCTCCCAGTCTTGTTCGCCACAGGTTCAGCGTGCGCAGCGTCTTGTTCTTGGTGAGCATGTTACCCAACGCCGCCACCCCGGAAAAGTCTTTCTCTTCGTCTGTCAGCGGATTGCTCTCGAGGTTCAGGTACTCGAGACTTTCGTTAGTGCTCAAAGCTTCGGCCAGGTCCTTGGCAGCCAGCGGGCCCAGACAATTGCTCTCGAGTTCAAGACGTCGAAGTGACGTATTCCGCTTCAGCAGCAACGCGAGCCATTTCCCCGTCGCGTCGTCGAGTCCGTTTCGGCTCAAATTGAGCGACCGCAGCGAGTGCGTAAAAGCCAGCGTCTTGCAGAGAGCTCGGGCCCCAACGCTGCTGACCCGGAGATCCGCGTGCTTCGGGGTCTCGTCGGCTTTGGCGAGTCCAAGCCACACTTCTAGCTGCGGGTTCTTGGCGATCTCCTCGACTTCTTCTCGTACCTCCTTCTCGCGCTCTTGTCGTCGGCGGTGCACGGTCTCGCGGAGGTAGCTTTTCGCGGCGAACTGAATCTTCTGCTGCATGCGGGACTCCTTCTCCGACGCGTGCTCACGGTTGAACTCTTCTTGCAGGCGAGCCGCGTCGTCATTGTAGAAACCCTTGGGCTGGATGCCGCGGTCAATCATCTGCACACAGACACAAGAGTATCATCATTACTCAAATGGTCCCAAGCCGCTTCAATAGCACACTCGTACCTCCCGGCGGATCTCGTTCTGCGCAAGGGCAAACGCGTCCGGAGGAGCGCTGTCGTCTGGCGTGACGCGAGCCATAATGGCCTCCCGGTCCACCGCTGACAGCCGCGAGATGTCGACGTCTGCATCGTCGTCCAGCGCCGGCTCCTTGCCGCCCACGCCGAGCCCCGACGACAGGTCCAGCATCTTGGACGTCTTCACGCAGCTTTGCTCGCCTGGGTGTCTCTTGCCTTGTGAAGTCCGCTGGAACCGACCTTTCACAACGAGCGTTGAAAACAAACAAAACACCAAACACCTGCATAACGCACACAATAGCATCTGCAACAGGACTGGTTTCTGAATTGCGGCTTCTTGGTCTATCTATCTTCATTGCTACAGGATACGAGAGACCTACTCCAGCAGCTCCGGCTCCTTCTTTACAATGTCGTCCTCATCCTCAAGCGTGTTGGCGCGCTTGGACATGAGGTACTCCGTCGATGGCGGAGTCGACGGAGGGGGAGGAATGTCCTCCGTATCGTCCACAGCAGCGGCAACGGACTCAGCACTGGCAGCAGCGGCCAACTCGGGTTTGTCGCCAGCAGACGCAGCAACGCCTTCAATCGCATTCGTCGCGTCTTCGTCCTCGACAGGGCCCTGGCCAAACTCGTTCGTGCGCTTGGCATCCACCGGGTACTTCCAGCGCTGGTAGAGGTAGATGAAGAAGACGAGGTCGTCACGGAAGCAGCTCAATCGGTGCATCCACGGCATCTTGATGACGAAGGCGAACAGGTCGTCGATGAACGTGTTGAGCGACTTGTACACCATGGCACGCCACGGCAAGTGTGCCACCGACTTGAGCTTGTAGTTGATGTACAACTGGGGCGTCATCATGATGAAACCGAACGCGTACACGAAGCTCGTAAGGCTGGAGATGACCCACGAGTACCAGCCCTTGTGCACACCGTACGCGAGCGTGTAGGCAGCCTGACCGACGATCAGCGGGTACAGCACGTAACAGAGGTGAGCCACAGCCACACGGTCGTGCTCGGCAGTTGGGGACTCCTCGTAGCTCTCCACGCCCGAGACGACGAGTTTGTTGTCGGCGTCGCGCGAGAACACGATCGCCTTCTTGATCTTCCACACGTCAATGACCAGGGCGATGCCGGACTGCACCAGAATGAGCCACGACGTGTCGTTGTCCATCAGGTACAGGAAGATCACGAGCTGGAAGAACGTGTTGAGCACGATCGTGCGCAGCGAGAGGCCCACTAACGACTTCTGGTTCTTCCAGAAGCTCACGTCATTTTTGAATGCCAAGAAGTCGAACAGCGAGTGCAGCAGCGACACCGCCATCGTCACCGCCAGCAGGTACGGGTTCGTTTCGATGAACATGCTTTTCATGTTGTCCGTGTCGCGCTTGGAGGAGGTGCCGGTGGCCTCCTGGTTGCGGAAGTTCTGCTCCATCTGCGTGTACAGCGCGTACTTGTACATGGGCAGCGAGTAGAAGGAGATCTCGAGGGGCAGCGACGTCACCGTGTCGTTCACAGGGATCAGGTGCTCCTCCAGCAGCCAGAACTCGTTCAGGAAGAGCACAGGCGAGTACAGACCCGCCTCCTTGTCCACCTCCATCTCCGGGGACACAAATGGCGGCGGCGGCTGGCGCGCCGAGTACGTCGAGTGGTCCAGCACCGGGTTGATATAGAACGAGGGCTTCCACATGGAGATGTACACGTCGGCCTGCAGCTCTTGGCCCTCCTCCGGCTGCTTCACTTCCTCCTCCGTCTTCTTGTTCTTCTCTTCGTCCTCCTCCCCCTCCTCCTTAGCGGCTGCAAGCAGGTTGCGCTTCTTCACGATCTTGGGCGGCGGGCGGAAGGCCGTGAGCTCCACCGAGCGGTGCACGGAGCTCATGGCGTCGAACGAGGCGTCCGCCGGGTTGGGCGAGTGGCCGTCCTTGGTCAGGAACACGTGCGCGTAGAGCGACCCGTTGGCCAGCAGGTGCTCGTCCACCGTCACGTTCATCTCGCGCAGCCAGACGCCGTCCTCGCGCGCCGCGTTGGGCGTGGCATCGTACGCGAGCGCGCTCTCGAACCAGCGGAGCGCCTCCTGCTCGCGGGCCACGGCGTCGTTGTCGCTGGCGTCGGCGAAGGAGAAGTGCGCGTCCGGCGTGACATACACTCTGAGGCTCACGGGGTCTCCGAGCTGGAACGAGTTGCGCAGCAGCTGCAGCTGCGCAGGGGGGCCACTATTGGGGGATTGCGCACTCGAGGCCACTGCGTCGCCGGTCGGCTGCTGCTGGTGCTGGTGGCGCTGCGGCTGCGGCGCGAACGTGTTGACGACCGACGTGATGGCGTAGTAGATACACAGCATGCGCAGCATGGGCCACAGGCGGTCCATGAAGCTCTCCTGCGCAGGCGCCGCGGCGCCGTCCGCGGCGGGGGCTGGGGCGGCGGCGGGACCTGCTGCGTCGGCCATGGTGAATTGATGGGCGAAAGGGGGCGGGAAGAGAGGGGCATACAAATGACAAGTGAAATGGAATCGAGCGTTTTGGCCAATGAGAGAAGGTCTCTTTGGTGACGTACGTACAGTACCGCACTTCAACGTGTTGCAGGGCGGACCCTGACAGTCGTAGCCTACGACGGCAACGATGGTGCAGCCCGCGAATATGAAAGGCTTATCTTGCTTGTCTTATGACGCGATGGTACGCGGAGGAGGGGGAAAGGCTAAAGCTACTCACATACTAGGCATTAACACCACTACGGGCGGACGGCGGCGACGAGGACCCCAGCCAGCCACGCCTCTGCTGACAGCAACGCCAAATCTAAGTCGAGGGGCTGCTGCGTGTTTGTACAGGCCCTTTGCGCGCTCCCTGGTCCGTCCTCCCGTTTGCTAGCGCACGCGTTCGCGGGGATAATGGCCACCGACGCCGCCGCTGCTGCTGCTACTACTTGAAGGGATTAGATCCACACGCCTTCGTCTTCCTCTTCCTCCTCTTCCGAGTCCGAGTCTGAGTCCGAATCCGAGTCGTCGTCCTGCGGGTGCAGGCGGTCCACCATGGACATGCGCTCCTCCGCCTGACTCGTTAGTTTCTTAAATAAACTAATCTGCTCCTCGCTCAGGCCGTCGTCATCGTTGGCGTCGTCGTCGTCGTCGTCCCCGATCATGCTAATAGACATACGCGCACGCTCGATGACGCTGTGAGCCTCGTCCAGCTGCCGCGCCAGAGCGAAGTTCTTCTCCTCGACTTCACGCAGCACGTCCTCCTCGTCGCTCATGTGCATCTGGTCCTCAGCCTCCTCATCCGAATTCACATCAGCGTAGTCGTTGCCACCAGACGAAGATGCAGTAGCCTCGGTAGTCGCAGTTGGCGAGCCCGGGGCATCCATGGCCACAGCTGTTGCTGCCGTTGCCGCTGCTCCTGCCGCCGCTGCTGCTGCCAATTCATGGTGATGCGCAGCAACAGGAGACGGTGCTGGCTCCGGCGAAGTGAGAGGCGACACCGAGACTGGCACAGGCGGAGGCAAACACGAGTCCGCGCTCACCGAGCGGCTCAATGCCAACGGCGTATCGATACTCGGAGATGCCGACTTCGATTTGGTAGGACTGCCATATCCGTTTCTTGACTCAGAGTCGCAGTTAGCCAGCAAATTACCCATTGACGAGAACGGGGACATGTCAGGGTGCGCGCTTTCGCCAGCCGCCTCAGCCATAGTACGAGCGCGCTGGGCACTAAGCTTCTTCGCCAGGCCCACATTACCCTCCGCGCGTGCGCGCTCTTCTTCTTCGAACAATGCCTGCGCAAGTTCCTCCAACCCACGGCGCTCGCGACGTGAGCGCTCTGCGTTGTTCTTGTGCAACGTCCGCTCAGGCATCATTGATCCTGAGCGACGAAGCTCCTTGATCTCCATCAGCTTGCGCTCAGCTTCAATGCGCGCCTTCTGCTCTTCAGCCTCGCGGTCTTCAATGGCCATGCGACTCATAGGCCTTGACGGAGCTTCCTCGTCTTCAGCCTGCACTGGGGCGGGAGCAGGGGTGGGAGCGGGAGCGGGCGGGGCGACCTCCACAGGTGCCGGCGGCTCTGCAACCTTAACTGATGCAGGGGCAGCATTCTCGTCGGCCGGAGTAGATCCAGACAGATTGAGGAATTTGTCCCAGCAGTCCTTGCAGTAATACTCTCCATCGTCATCCATGTCCAGCTTCGACTCGTTCTCCGTAGCACCGCACTCAGCACAGAACTTGGCGGTGGGGACGACCACAGGAATACTCATCACGTTCTGCAAATCGTCCATAATCTTCTGCACGTGCTCGTTGTCCTCGATCACAGGAGGCACGATGTCTACGTCGGTGTAGGAATCGCGCTTAAATCCTGAAATCACACCAGCCAGCTCGTGGATCACGTTGTTCTGACGCTTCACCACCTCTTCGGGCTTGTGCCGCACAGCCAACGCCAGCACACGCTCGCGTGACTGCGCTTCGAGAATCTCTTCATACTTCTTCGCTTGGCTCTTCACCTTCTCAAGCGCCTCCTGGAGCACCTTTGCCTCCTGTTCGGCACGCGACAGCGCCTCCTTGGCTGGCGTCGTGCGCTCCGTCTTCGCCTGGTTCGAAATGCACAGCTTCGCCTGAACTCGCAGCAGGTGCGCCTCTTTCGATCCTTCCTCAATAGCAGTAATAGGAATACCAGCAAAGATTGCGTGGTCCAAGTCCGATCCCTGCGACGCTGCCACCAGCTCGCGTGCCACGTCCAGCGGGATACGCTTTTTCCGCTTTTGCCTCTCGCGGTCGGAGCGGTCGCGGTCCGAGCGTTCACGTTCTCGGTCAGATCGGCTAACGCGTTCGGTTCGGATAGGCGGCGGCGGTCCCACCGGCTCGGGGCCGCTATCGTACAGAGGCACATGCTGGCGGCTCGATACCTTTCTGACTTCACGCTGCGTGCCGGGGTTGGATCGCACCGACGTCACCGATGCCACCGACATCATCGACTCACGGCGGCTCTTGCCCGGGCGGAAGCGCAGCACGGCAGGCTTCGGCGAGTGCTTGAGCATGCGCAGCGTGTCCTGGTACGCCTCGCCCTCCACCAGCGTGCCATTCACCGACACGAGCTCATCGCCCACCTGTGCGTTCTGCAGTCCGCTGGCGTTGCCCTTTCCTGTCAGCTTACTAAGCACCGGGACATCGCGGTATCCTGGCTTCAACTTGAGCCCCAGGTCTCCCTCGCGCCACACGATGTCATACGATCCAATGTCGCTGGGGATGCCGCTCACGCTGCGACTGCCACCAGGGGACTCCTGCGAAGACCTCTTGCGCGAGAGGCGGCGCCCCATGCGCTTGAACTTGAGCACCGCCGGCTTGCGGATGGTCTTGAGCAGCGAAATGGTGCTGCGGAAGCCCAGCGACTTGGTCTCCTGGCCGTTGACGGCGACGAGGATGTCCCCCACCGTGGCCCTCTCCATGCCCGTGCCGGCGCCCTTGCCCGTGATCTTGCGGATGCACGGCACGTGGCAGTCGTCGTCATCGGGGCGCAAGATCATGCCCAGCGGGCCCTCCGTCCACACCACCGTGTACTGCTCGCGACGGCGCGTCGTCGAGCTGGCGCTGGAGGGGGATTTGCCGGACTCGGACCACGCGGTGCCCGTGGAGCCGCGGCTGCGGCGCGAGGAGCTGCGCGACGGGTCGCGCGTGTAGGCGCTGCTGGGGGTGCCGCTGAAGGCGCGCGGCACGCGGAAGCGCAGCGTTGCCGGCCGCGGGATGGTCTGCAGCGTCTGCACCACGTGGTCGTAGCCCTGACGGGCCGTGTCCATGCCGTTGATGCTCACGAGCATGTGGCCCACCGCCACCTTGGCCAGCGCGGCGGCCGAGTCCTGGCGCGTGATGCGGCCCACCACGGGCGGCATGTCCTCCCCCAGGTCGGGGCGCAGCGTTAGGCCCAGCGGGCCATCGCCCCACGTCACCTCGTACTCCATGTCTGGGGTCGGGCGCTCTCTCGCTGCTCACTCTCTCTCTCTGTTGTTCCTCCTACAGGTCACCAAGGCGCGCCGGGGACGCGGGTGGGCCTCGGGTCTCGCGCTCGCAGCGGCGGGTACGTACGCGCTCGCGCTGCTGCTGTCGGCTGCTGCTCGGGCCGCGCGAGAGCTCCTTCTTGTTCTTCTCCGCGCCGCTCGCCTTCCGCTTGCTGCGCAAATGAGTCCCCGCTAGCGGCGGGGAGAAGTTTAAAAAACCTCGGGGAACGAGGTTTTTCCAGCGGATGAACGGACATAGAGCGGCCGCTTTTCCCTATGATGCCGGACCCTGCTGCACGGCGGACTGCACTTGCTTGATAGGCAAGAGCCCAGCGCTGCGGCGGCGGCGGCACTGCAATTAGCTAGCCAGCACGAATTTGCGCGAGTGCATGCATGTAGCTTCTGCTACGACGGTAGACCGACAATTATGAGAGATGCTGCAGAAAGACAGCGCGCGCTCGCACAGCGCCGGAATCAGGTCGCCGGCGCCTTTGCTGGTCGTTTGTGCGGAGACAGCGGACCTCGGGCGGCGGTGCCACGCTGTTCCGGCTCGTGGGCGGTCTCCGCAGGCCTCAAGTGAAGTGACGCTTGAAGCGGGCAGTGGTGGGATGGTTGGCGGTGCGTCTTCCAGGCAAAAAATGCGCTGGTGCCGTCGGCGCCTGCACGTCTGTACAGTCAGTATGTATGGCATACATTGTATGCCCGCGCCGCCGCCGGGCTATCCACGTCAGCGCTCACCGAGACCAAAGCCGACCTGCGTGTTGCCCCTAGGTTTCACAATCCCAAAGATATCCCGGGCGCCTTGATTGGCAAGTTGCCGTGGCAACACATCCGGGGTCGAGCGCGCTCGCAGTGGGATCGCCGAGCTGCAGAACGGGGAGCCAGCGGCACTGTGCTCGCCGCACTCGGGCGCAGCAGTGCAGTCGCTCGGCGATGGCAACGACGCCGGCGGCAGCAGCAAAACCCACGCGGGCATGCGCGTCCAGCGTGACGCGGTAATCAAGCGGTTTGTGTGGCACACATATTTCAATGTGGTTTACACTATCCCTCCCATACCCGACGCCATCACTTCTGACGGGAGACTATCGATTTTTCCGATGTGCCCTGTGACTACCCCGAAGCCAAAACATTTTGACCAGGTAGCCCTTCACAGTTGCGGCAGTCGCTACGTGGCGTCAATCGCAAACCCTTGCTCTCCGGTCCCTGCCCGCCATGAAGGTCTGCGGCCTGGTGTTGCTGCTGCTGTGCGCGTGCGTGGCGCTGCTGGCCCGCCACGCGGCCGCCGAGAAGATCGAGGACATTTCGTTCAAGCCGCCCTTCGAGCTCGTGGACGCCGAGGGCCGCCGCATGGTCAACACCACGTGGTCGCACGGCGGCAACGCCGACGTCAAGAAGCACTTCGTGCGCCTGACCACCGACCGCCAGAGCAAGCGCGGCCACCTGTGGCAGAAGAACCCCGTGGGCCGCGACGAGCTGTCGGCCATCCTGACGTTCCGCGTCTCGGGCCAGGGCAAGCGCTGGTTCGGCGACGGCATCGGCCTGTGGTTCACGGGCCAGAAGGTGTTCACGCCCGGCGTGAACCACGGCTTCACCGACAAATACACGGGCGTGGGCGTGGTCATCGACACGTTCAACAACCCGGAGCACAAGGGCGGCCACAAGGACATTAGCGTCTTCGTGAACAACGGCAACAAGAACTACGACCAGATGTACGACGAGCAGCGCGTAGGCTGCAACGCCGCCGTGCGCTACCACGAGCAGAGCGCCAACTTCGACCCGGTGCACAGCATCTCGCGCGTCAAGGTGAAGATCGACAAGACCCGTCTTGTGGTGGAGGTGGACGACCACGCCTCGGGCCTGTGGGTGGCCTGCCACGAGATGACGCTGCCGTTCAGCGCCGACTGGCTGCGCATGGCCACGATCGGCATCACGGCGTCCACGGGCGCGCTGGCCGACAACCACGACATCATCCGCTTCGACGCGTACTCGGAGTTCGCGGACGCGACGATTGGCGCCGTGGACTCGGAGGTCGTCATGAACTCGGTGTCCAAGGACTACAAGAAGTGGATGGACTCGCCCAACTGCGGCACGGACTGTCTGATCGCCGTGCTGCAGAAGGAGCTGTCCAACTTCCGCATCGACGCGGAGCACCGCTTCTCCGACCTGAAGGAGAAGACGGAGAACAACGTGGCCAAGCTCAAGAAGCAGGAGGGCGAGAACGAGCGCCGCGTGCGCGAGATCGAGGCCAAGGTGCGGAAGGGCATTGACTCCTCGCTGGAGAACACCAAGAAGGTGCTGGGTGACGAGGTGAACGAGAAGATCACGAAGCAGCTGGAGGAGAACCCGGACATCGCCAGCGGCGGCTGGAAGACGCCGTTCGCGCTGCTGTTCATCGGCCTGGCGGCGGGCGCGGCCTACGTGTACCGCAAGTACCAGGCGCTGATGAAGTCGCACTTGCTGTAGACCCGCCGGTGAGGTCGGTTGGGTGCCTTGGGACAGCGATCTCGCGGCAGCTAACGTTAATAGTGTCCTAACCAAGTAAAACTGCACATTCACTATCTCCATGCGTCAAGGCCATGACATGACTCATGGATAGCCAGCCCTTCCTTCCCTTCCTGGGTCATCATCGCTGCACACGTCGCAGCTTTTTGCCAAAAAGATCGCTGTGTGGTTCACCTGATCCCCTCCAGCATTTATTACAGAGTCTCACAGGTTTCATCGACCCACGTGTCATTCATTCTACGCAGCGCAGTGCATTCGGGCATTTCTGACTCCTAGTGCTTCCTTGCCGCACTCCGCCGCCTGGCCCCAGCGCTCTACCACCGAGAAGAATGCTTCGTCGATTCGTGACGCTGCTGTCCGCCGCGGCGCTGTCCGCCGTGTCGGCCGCCCCGCTGCCGGGCATGACCTTCAAGCAGCCGTACGAGGTGGTGGACTCGGACGGTCGCCGCCAGATCGCGGACGGCGTCCTGTACGGCGGCAACACGGAGGTGAAGAAGAACTTCATCCGCCTGACGCCCGACCGCCAGAGCAAGCGCGGCCACATCTGGACCAAGAGCAGCGTGGACAGGGACGAGCTGGCCACGGTCATCACCTACCGCATCCACGGCCAGGGCAAGAAGTGGTTCGGCGATGGCATCGGCCTCTGGTTCACGCACGAGCCGCAGTGGAAGAACGGCGACAACCACGGCTTCACGGACAAGTACGTTGGCTTCGGCATCGTGCTGGACACGTTCCACAACGTGGAGCACCGCGGCGGTCACAAGGACGTGACGATCCAGGTGAACGACGGCACCAAGCGCCTGGACGACCTCAACGATGAGAACAAGATCGGCTGCGACGCCGCCTTCCGCTACCACGCGAACAGCGCCAATTTCGACCCCGTGTACAGCTCGTCTCGCATCCGCGTCAAGATCAAGGGCACCGCGCTCGAGGTGGACGTGGACCCGAACAACGCTGGCACCTGGACCGAGTGCTACCGCGGCAACCTGCCGTTCCAGAGCGACTGGCTCCGTCGCGCGACCTTCGGTATCTCGGCGTCGACAGGCGCGCTGGCCGACAACCACGACATTCTGCGTGTGCAGTCGTTCGACCAGATCAACGACGCCGGCCTGGGCACGGTGGACGCCGAGACGTGGTCGCACAACTACTCGAAGGACTTCGTGTCGCTCATGGAGAGCGACGTGTGCGACCAGTCGTGCAAGGTGACGATCCTGGAGAAGTACGTGACCAACTTCCAGGTTGAGACGGAGCACTGGTTCGAGATGCTCCGCGAGCAGACCGAGAACACCATCAACAAGCTCAAGGAGAAGGAGCGCCAGAACCAGCGCAAGATTCAGGCGCTGACGGACCGCATGGCGGAAATGGTTGAGTCGTCCCTGAAAAAAAAGAAGAAGGTGCTGGACGAGGAAGTCAATGAGAAAATCACCAAGCAGTTGGAGGTAAACCCGGACCTTGTTGGTGGCGGCTGGAAAACGCCGTTTGCACTGTTGCTCATCGGACTGGCGGCGGGTGCGGCCTACGTGTACCGCAAGTACCAGGCCCTAATGAAGACCCACATGTTATAGGCATCTATTGCATGTGCATGTTGGTGCATCTGGACAGCGCTGCTAGTTAATGGTAGTACTGGTAGAGTTAAGGGGATACATCAAGGGTAGCTGAAGCTGGTGGATGGCCAGACCTTGGCATTTTTTCGAAGGGCTGACGGCAGCCTTCTGCTGGGTTTGGAATGCAAGGTTGTGGATTACAACGTCAAGATCTGGATTCCATTACGAGGACTACATCCACGAACAAATCAAGTTGAAGTGAAGGAAATCAGACGGTCACTCTTGTTTCCCTTTCGTACCGCACTCGCTTTCGTCGTGCCGCTCTCGCATTCTTCGTTCCGTACTCGCCATGGAGACGCCAGACAATTCCTGTGCAGGCAGCACGTTGCTCCCTGTCATGTTTGATCTGCCAGCTCGGCGACAGGTCTTCGTGATGGAAACAGATATCGCGGTGGCGACCAATTCCTGTACGGAGAATGTCTTCGTGTGGGGCAGCGATATCGACGGGTCGGCGGGTATCGTCATGCCAATTGCTGTCGAAAGTGAGAGGAGTAGCTGGAGCGTAGACACAGCTACCGAGGACAGCGTCGGGCCGTGGCTTCAAGCCAAGTGGAGACGAAGCTGAACGCACGCGAAGACATGCCCCTGGAGGCACCCGTCGAGTACCAGCCCAGTGCGGGGCAGTGGCATCAAGCCAAGTGGAGGACGACATTGAAGAATTACTCCTCAATTGAAGACAAGCCCCCGAAGCCGCCCGCAGCGAAGCGCAAGCGGAAAGACGGCGCGCGTGCAGGTGCTGGAGGGGGCAAGCCGCCCGCAGCGAAACGCAAGCGGAAGGGCGGCGCGCGTGCAGGTGCTGGAGAAGGCAAGCCAAGTGGGCATGATGCCAGCTCTCGAGTTGATGGTTCTGGTGCATCGGCTCGAAGTGAAGTTGAAGGTGGGATCCAGCGTCTACGTGGTGCTGAATTGGTGACTCATAGAGACGTGAGTGGAGAAACGGCGCCTGAACCGCGTAGTGTTCGCAATCACGAACTGGTCGAGCTGTGGGATAAAGTCGCAAATGGTTGTGACATCGATGATTGGCACCCTAAGGTCAAGGACGGAAAAGCGCACTGGAAGTGTAAGAAGGTCCCTCATCATCGCTACATGGCCAGTATGGGTAACATGGTTGCTGGAAAACGCTGCGGAATTTGCCAAGGACTATCCATTTGTCAGGTGGACTTCTGCAATTCGCTTTGGTTCGTGCGAAATGATCTTGAGCCCCAGTGGGATAAAAAGCGGAATGGAGACATGCGCAACTATGCAGCTTACAGCAAGAAGCGGGTGTACTGGAAGTGCGAACTGGTCGAGCATCATTCTTGGATCACGTCGATTGGCAACCGCTCGTTAAAGACTATCAAGAATTGTCCTTACTGTCCGAATGGTACGCAATCTCGCAAGTTGTGTCTGGTGGATGGCTGCAACTCCATTAAGTACACCCATCGGCACCTCATGCCACAATGGGACACGGAGGTCAACGGAGATCCTCGTGGCTACTTGGCTGGAAGTAATGCTGTGGTGTCGTGGATCTGTGAGAAAGACCCTCATCACAAGTGGAAAGCGAGAATTTACAGTCGTACTAAGACCACAAAACTGTCGGGATGTGCAATCTGCACGAATCGACTGGCCTGTCCTGCAGATGGCTGTAACTCGTTGTACGAGCTGGCGCCGTCACTACGAGAAGAGTACCATACGAAGAACAAGCTGAAGATGAACCAGGTTGCCGCTACTTCCGGAACAAAGGTTTGGTGGGTGTGCTCTGCGGGGCATGAGTGGAAGGCCACCCCATGCATGCGGTTCACGTACGGTAGGGGCTGTCGTAGCTGTCTCTACAAGTCGGAGAAGCTGGCGAGGAAGATTTTCAATACGCTGCTTCCGGGACACGATTTCGCGAAGGCAAACCCTGACTGGCTCGAAAAGCTGGAGTTGGATGGATATTGTGAGGGGATCGCTTTGGCGTTCGAGCGCGACGGCGAGCAACATGAAAAGGAGATCCCATTTTTCCATCGCACACCAACGGCCTTTATCGAGCAGCAGCAGAGAGACGCCCGGAAGAATGTCTTGTGCGAGAAGGAGGGCATCACTTTAATCCGCGTTCCCTCCCAGTACACGTGCAACAAACCTCTCGATATGGAGGAGTTTATTGGAGAAACCATTCTCACGTGGAATGAACAGTTGCAGTGGGAGCTCTGGCGGTGATTCTGGAGGCGGAGGAGAGAATTGCGTTGACGGAAGTTCCTTCCGGGTGCTATTTCTACGACCCGGATACGTTGGGCGCGATCGAGAACTTCGTTCAAGACCAGATCTCTCATTGTCCTCGAATCGTGGAAGATGAGGCGAGCATTGCATTGAAGGCATTTGTTCAAGACCTGATCGCTCGTGGAAGACAGCAAGATGAGTAGTTTGTCCAAGACCTGATCGTCCGTGGAGATCAAGACAGCAAGAAGAGTTGTCGGCGGCGTGGGCGTGGCCTACCAGAAGTACACTACAACGGACCCACATTCAACAGCTAGGGGCCCTTAGTACAGGTGGCTCTTGACNGGCATGCGCAGTACCGCAAGCTGGTCAAGAGCCACCTGTACTAAGGGCCCCTAGCTGTTGAATGTGGGTCCGTTGTAGTGTTTTGCCAGGCAGAGCTCATAAGTTGGCTGCAAATAGATACCTACACGTAGTACAGGGCCAATCGAAGTTTTTTAGCTCGATCAAAATCTGTGACGTGTGACGCATTGTCGATCGGACAGTTTTTTTCGTCGTGCATTTGTGAGCTGGCAGCAACGCCATTTGCTTAGAGCTGCGACGATGGGGAAGCGCACGCGCGTCGGCGGCTTGCTGCTGCTGCTGGTGTCAGCCCTGGGGCTGGGCTACACGTTCTGGGAGGAGCTGCAGACGGCGCGCGAGACGCTGCAGCTCACGTACGCGCACCGCTCGCTGAGCGCGGACCGCGATGCGCCGCTCAAGAGCGTCACCGTCTACCGCAACGGCTACTCGACCGGCGGCGTGCAGATGGAACTGAGTGCGGAGCTGCTGGCCGCGCGCACTGGGGAGGGGGAGCTGGCGGCGTATCTGTCGCAGTTCGTAGCGGTCGAGGGGCTCCACGAGTCCGTCGAAGATGAAGGCGGTGAGGACAGGGAGAAGGAGTACAGCACGCCTGGCGCTGTGGCGGACCGCGTGTTCAACGGCCAAGGAGAGCTGCTGCAGACCTACGCAGACATCCTATCGGGCGACAGACTCTATCTCGTTGCACCGGGGCTGCACTTCATGTGGCCCTTTGTGGAGCTTGGCCACCGCGTGACGGTGGCATCCAAAGCTAGTCCTACCAAGGAGCCCGTGATCATCGAGTCACTGTCGGAGTCTCCGCGGACATTCCGCCTGCACAACTTTTTTAGTGCGGAGGAAGCGGACAAGCTAATCCAGCGCACGCTGGAGATCGACGACCCGGCAAACAAGCTGCAGCAGTCGTACGTGGGACCCAACGACAGCAAGAACAAGAAGCAGTTGTCCAAGCACCGCACGAGCGAGAATGCCTTCGATACGGTCTCGGAGACGGCGGTGAATATTCGCAAACGCGTGTTCGATGTGTTGTCACTAGGAGAATACCAGGACGACATGTGCGACGGCCTTCAGCTACTGCGATACCAGCAGAAGCAGGCGTACATCGCCCACGAGGACTATTTCCCGTTGGGTGCGGTGCCCGACGATGACTTCAACTTCGACCCGCACAAGGGAGGCTCCAACCGCTATGCTACCGTCTTCCTCTACCTGTCGGACGTTGCGCGTGGTGGTCAGACGGTGTTTCCACTAGCAGACATGCCCAAGGGCCTTCTAGCCGAGTATGGTCACCCTGCGAATGCTGCTCAGGACTACGAGGCCGCTGGAGCTGAGCTGTTCGAGCCTGGTAGCTGGGAAATGGATATGGTGCGGAAGTGCTCGACCAAGTTGGCGTCGTACCCCTCCAAGGGAGGAGCTGTGCTGTTTTACAGCCAGAAGCCGAACGGAGAACTGAACCCGATGTCGCTGCATGGTGGTTGCCCTGTGCTCGAAGGTACGAAGTGGGGTGCCAACCTCTGGGTCTGGAACCGCCGGCGCCATGGCCTGGATGTCGACGACACTGCGTGCAAAGTCACCTTCACAAACCCGACACCTCACGAAGTCGGTCTGTACTGGTCTGGCACGCTCATGACCACCCTCGCAGCCAACGGTGGCAGCATCGTGTACAACTCGTTCACGGGCCACCAATGGGTCCTGAAGGATGGCGACAAAGTCTTGCTTGATGTCCTGGTAGATGCCAAGGACGGTAGCGAGCAAACTGTTACTGTCCCCACAGCAGGCGAAGAGAAGTTCCCCAAGACGAGCGATAAGAGCAAGACCAAGGACGAGCTGTAGACAGCGAGTAGCTCGTATTGCATGTGCCATCCGTCATCATCAAAAAGGGGTGCATTTATCTTTACGGCATTGTGTAGTTCTATAGCCTCTAGGCCACACGACGTTTCTTGTTCTTGCTGCTGGCGTCGAAGACCTTTTCCAGCAGCCCGTTCTCGCCCAGCGACTGGTTCTGTTTGCTGCTGGTCGGCGCCTTCTGGTGGAAGGTGCGACGCACCTGCTGCATGGCGTCGTGTGCTGCGTCTCCGTCCTGCTTCTTGTCAGCCTTGCGTGCCTCCATCTTCTCGAACTGCTTGGACTGGTCCACGCGCTCCAAGTACGCCTCGTTCTCCTTCTTGGCCTGCGCGATCTCCATGCGCAGCTTCTGGTCCCGGATGCGGTTCTCGTACGCGATCTTCTCGGTCAAGTGGTCCCATTTGAAGCCCTTGAGGTACTTGAGGTTCCACATGTCGTCGTGGTAGTAGTCGCGCTTGCGGCCGCCGATCTGCGTCGTGTTGAGCATCTTGGCCACGCGCTTGGCCTCCTTCTTGTCCTCGAACTCGATCCAGCCCTCCGTGTACTTCTGCCGCCGGTTGCCGCCAGCGCTCACGCGCTTCTTGTGCAGCACCTTGTCCTCCGGCACCAGGTAGATGCGGTTCAGCTCACCGTACTTGCCCAGCAGCGAGCGCAGCTTCTCCGGCTTCATGAAGGGCGGCACGCGCGCGATGTACACCACGCCGCGGCGCTCCGCCTTCTCCTTGAACTGCTCCATCTTCTCGCGCGACAGGCCAGCGAGCGCCTTGACCTTGACGGCCTTGGGCTTGGGCGCATCAGCTTCCGTCGACGACATGGCTCCAGCACGGGTAAGCGACTCAGTATTGACTGGCGATGGACGTGCACCGTTTCACGATTGTGTGCGGTTTGTGTATAATGCGCACACAAACTCTACACAACTGCAACTGTCACGCAGTAGGGCTCAACGCAAGACTCGACTCTCGGTGGAATGCTCGCAGTGGTACAACTCAAACGGCCCTTGTGTATTTACTTACCTACTTGTTTATGGTGGTGTTAAATTAATGGGATATGTGCAATTCGTGCAGAACGCAACGATAGATAACGTGCTTGGTCCGTCGGGCCCAGCTTCTGGCAGCTCGCCTTAGTCGCCGAGGAAGTCGAACTGCGAGCAGGACGCAACAATCTCCTCTAGCGAGTTGGTGCTCCACATCTGCGGCCACACAGTCTCACTCACGGGCTCGTTGTAGTCCGCGAAAATCTCCATGAGGTCGCTGTCGGTCTTGGAGCCGAGCCACGCAGCACCGGCGTCTAGTGCCAGCGAAAAGAGCGAACCATCCGCCACCACCGGCGCGAACGGGTCGCTGCCGACGACGTTCGCGCCATCATCAGCAGAACGTGGCGAGTCGGACTGCTGCTTCACCAGTGCGGGGGCAGGCGGGGGCGCAGCGAACACTGAAAAGTCCGTCACCTCGGCCATGACAACGTCTAGTGCTGGGGCGTCCTGCTCGCTCGCTGCCACTGTTGTGTCGCACGCAGGCTGCATCTCTGTGGAGGAAAACTTGCCAGCGTCCAGAGCCGCCTGCTTCTTGGTCTTCTTGGCCTTGGTCTTATTGCGCAGCCCGCGCTGCTGGCGCTCGTGCTTCTGGCGGTACTTTTGCGCGTGCGTCATGGTCTGGCGCGAGTCCTTGGTGCCTACGTAGTCGGCGATGGCCTTCCACGGCCCCGACGGGAACACGTCCAGCGCCACGAGGAAGCGCTCGTGCTCCTCGCGCGTCCAGGCCTTGCCCTTGTTCTTCTCGGCGGCGGTGCGCGTCTTGTGCGCCGCCGCCGCTCGCTGAGCGCGCGAGCTCTTGCGCAGCGTCTTGAGCAGCTGCGAATCGGCGGGCGGCACGGCCTGCACCAGCTCCTTCTGCACGCGCTTGGTGATCGTCATGGCTGTGGGCTGTGAAGTGCGCGGCGCTAGGCGAAATGAGAAGTGGCGCGCATTGAACGGCAACTGAGACCCTAGAATGATGATCTGTTCAACATGTGTGCGTGAGTGAGGATCGCCGGTATTTCAGCCAATGGAATACCGACAAATGTGATGTCCCGCGTAACGCAAAAATGAATTATGCGGTCGATAGATACATTTATTCAATATCACGTCGTTGAAGGGAAAGTGACTCAAAATACACCTCTTCGTTTGAAGCACAGCACAAAGGATGCATGGTGTTTGGGAGATCTATATTGCATTTGGGAGGTATCGTAACACGTGGTTACCGCATTACTCGCAAGCCAACATGGCCAAGATCCTGGCGGGCGGCGGCGCCCTGCAACTGCAAGCCACGTTGCTACATCCTGTGCTGCTACCCCCTGCGGTGCCAGCGTCCGCCGCGCGATTTCGCTGGGAAGGAGTAGCCCCGCTTGTTTGCGAACCACACGCAGGACTCGCCGAACGGGCTTTCAACAGCATTTGAATCTCCCCGGGGGATTTTCGGAGGCTTCAAGTTGGACGGGCCCGGACGGCACGCTGCAACGCCGCTGTGACGGTCTACTTTCCGCGACGTCGCCGTTGCCCTGAGGAATTCAGATACTGTAGACTGTGGCGCCCTGCTAGCGATCCGATCGCGCTGCTTGACGGCTCAGCGTTCGTCAGAGCACGCCATTCGACTGACCAAGATCCAAGTTGCACTCGAAACAGTCGCAGAGACAGAAGCGCCGATGGCCGATGGGATACACGTTGCAGCAGGCGCAAGTATTGGGCAAGTCATCCTGCTATTGCTGCTCCTGTCCTGAAAGAGCCGCAAGGCGGCCGACCGGCTAGCCGAGGTCTCCCCTCATAAGGCTTATGATAAGCATCACAGATGGACCGCGCAATGACTTCACCTCCACCGGTGCAAGCGCAAGCAAAGGCGGCGGCAACTTGACCGTTCAAGCTGCTGCGGCGAGCCCCGTCGTCGGACGCCGCCAGGATAGTCGCGCCTCAAGCATCAAGCAAGCCTCCTCGCCCGTGCTCTCCGCAGCGCGACATTTTGCAGCGAGCGCGCTGTCCTCCTCACGGCGCCCTCCCTCGCCTCTGCTGGACCACCGAGTTGCCTGAGCCGGAGACACACGCCTCCGGCGATGACTTGAGTGCCGCCGCGACCGGACGATGCCACCACGGACACGCAGCTCGGTGGCCAAGTCGACAACAGCAACGAGCCTGGCGCTGCGCCCGCCGCCGCCGCGTCTCCGCTTCGCTGATGTGCAAGAAGAACTCGCTTGCGCTTCAAAATGCGCGAGCGCTGGAGGGATCTGCTGACGGGACGCGCGCTCGGACTTCTTGGCCGGGCCTCCGCGACGTGGGTAAACCCCCGCGACCGTTTTCCAGCGCAGCATGGAGGCACGACCGGATTGTGCTTTGCAAGGTGCAGCGCAAGCCCTGCCTGCATGGCCGGCCGGCCGGCCACAGCGCGATCGAGCGACGCCGGGTTGCTCGCGCGGATACATGTCCTCAGCGGCGTCTGCGACGTGCTCCAGCAAGGTACACGCCGATGAAAGAGGCGAGATAGAGCGAGCGTCCGCGCTGCGAGGAAGCGCTCGATCTTGGTGGCGGCGGCGTTCGCGTTACCAGTTTGTGCGCGACGCGTGCATCCTGTTGCAGGATTCTTGTATCCTGCGCTGACCGATGAGATATTGCGATATGAAGTCCGCGCTGGAAGATATTGCAACGATGCCGGCGTGAATTCTCAGCCGCTGGCGGCTTCAGACTCGCTCATTTTCGCCAGCCCACTCGAGTGATATGGCTCCAATCGCCAACTGACTTCAACTCCATCGGACTCCTGCGGACGAGCCGCTGCTCGAGCGGCAATGGCGAAGGCTGCAGCCGCCGCCGCGCTGGAGGTGAGGTGACTCGACTAAGGGCAGCATGTTTTGGTGGTCCTTGCTATGTTAGCTCGCGGCTCGGAGCAGAGGCGGGGTTTGCAGGCCAGCCACGCGGCGTTAAAAGCCCACCAAGCGATCGGCGCGTGCAGTCGGTCACCAGCGTGATTGCGCGCGGCGCCAGCAGCAGCAGCAGCAGCAGTAGTAGAGTTGTGCGGTGCGTGCAGCGGACACCTCCGGCAGAGGCACCGGTGGTAGCATGGCGCGGCAGAACGCAGCGGTGCCTGGCGTTCGAGGAGCTCTCCGCCGTCGCCGAGCGCGATCCAAGTCGTTGACAAGCATAAACTTCAACCGCGCCGCTTCGGCGGCGACAAGGGGGATGAGCGCGCGCCCCGCGCTTGGTCCTCGTGCGTCCAGGTGAGCACTGAAATGATACTGGACCCATCTGGCCATGCGCGCGAAAGAGAGCGGGCGCGCCGCGCCGGACGCCGGACGAGCTCCGTCGGATGTCGGCCGGGCACCACGCGCGGCAGCTCTGCGCGCCACGTTCCAGCGCGGCGCTGGAACGACGCGGCGTATCGCTGCTCTCGAGCATATCTTGTCGGGCTTGCCATCGGCGGCGGCAGGGCCCGCGCGGAGCAATGTCCGCGGTGCTGGCGCCCTTGCTGCTGCCGCTCCAGGCGCAGCAAGGGCGAACTCGATTGCTAACGCGCGCGCTGGCGGCCCCATCGAGTGGCACGAGGGCCGTTCGATTTTGATTATCGTGGGACGGCCGCCGCGCGGGCGTAGCGGGCTCCGGTCGACTGGCCCGCCGAACTCGAGCCCAGCAGCTCGAGTGAAGCAACAGCAGGGCCGACGATTGCCAGCATGGAATGCAGTTCGTGTGGCGGTGAATGAAGAGCGGCGGATCGCTAGTATATAACGCGACAGCAGTGCTGGAAGTCGCCATCCGCGGCCATCGCGACGGGCTCCGATGCCCGTGAAGAGGGGGGCCACTGTACTGCGTCACCGCCGCCGCGGCGTGAGCCACTCTCTGCGCATTTACGCTGAAACCAAGCATGGGACACTCGCCCGGGAAAATGGAACGCGGCCGGGGCTGCGCCGCGCAAAGCAGGGCTCGGCGCATCCTGCGCGGAGACCTCGGCGACGTAAATCCGGGCAGGCGGGGCGGTATCTCCGGGCTGGGCGCGGGCGCGCACGGTCACTGTCGGCGATGGCGCGCGGTCTTATCCGGGGTGGCGGCGGGCGCAATTCGCGCTGGAGGCGAGGCTATCGCGGCGGTTTGCGCCGGCAACTCGGGCGGGCGGCTTGCCCTCTGGCCCGGCGCGTCATCGTCCGCGCCGCGACTGTGATCGGCACGTCTCGCTCGGGAGAGGCCGCTCCCTCGGGCGCTGCTGGCTGGGGCAGACGCCGATCCTGTGTCACTTGAAGATCTGCGTCGCGCGTGCAAGGTGCTGGGAGGAAGCAAAACAGGCGAGCCGACATGTCGTTCACCAACATGGTCGAGAGCGCGGCGAGCGAGTGGACGCAGCAGCAGCAGCGGCAGATGGAGGAGGCCAAGCCGGCGCCCGAGGGCCGCGGGCTCTGGTCGCCCGAGGAGCACCGCCTCTTCGTGGACGGCATCAAGATGTTCCCGTCCGGGCCCTGGAAGGACATCGCCAACCGCGTGGGCACGCGCACGGCGCGCCAGACCATGACCCACGCGCAGAAGTACCGCCAGAAGATCGCGCGGCGGCTGCGCAACGCGCGCATGAACGCCAAGCACAACCTGCCCTTCCTCATGGAGCGGACCGCGCGCTTCAACGCGCTGCTGAGCAGCGACGAGCAGTTCAACGACTCGATCCTGGCCACGTCGCTGGCCATCGCCGCCGAGCAGGAGCTCGACCTGCTGGGCGAGACGGGCGACGGCGGCGCCTCGCCCGTCGGGCACATGCAAATGGAGATGCAGATGCAACTGCAGATGCAGATGGCCGCCCAGCCCAACGTCGCCATGGAGCCCATGGGCCCCGGCAACACGTACCAGAAGCAGCTGCCGCTGGCAATAGACTTCTCCTCCACGGAAGGCAACCCGTACTACCTGGACGGCCCGTCCTACGAGCCGAGCGACATCGAGTTCGACAAGTGCATGGACTTCTTGATCGAGACCTTCCACCGCGAGACCTAAGCACAAGCAGGCGCGGCCGCCGGTGTCCCCCGATATCGAAGCGTATTTATTTGATGAGACCCGGCGGGCGGGGCGAAGGGAAGCGAGAGGAGGAGGGAAGGAAGGGAGAGCACTAGAGCGGGGAAGGGTGGGTGTTGGTGCGTGCCTCGCGAGCGAGAGAATTGTTAAAAACACAGTAATATATTATGGTAAAGAGCCGTCCTTTTGAGCGAACGCCTTGCTTGCCTGCCTGCTTGCCTCCATCCAGAATCTAAGGCGTCCACCACGCGCGACTGGCCCATGGTCTCGCCACTAAAGATCGCGCAGCATGGCCACCCATCGGCAGAAACTTCAAGGCCCGAAAGATACGCTGTCAACGCGTTTACAGAGGCTCCATGCGCCCTCCCGACTCGAGTCCTCGACAGCCACCGAGCCTTGCCTCGCCGGCCATTGCATTCCAGCTCACGGCCGCCTCCAGATAGCCCGGGCATCGAGCCGTGACGTCGCCTTGCCGCCCACATGACTGCCATGATTTACGCGCGCGGAGGCCTCGCGGCACGTTCCGAACGTGCGCAGGATTTGCCCGATCAAAAAGACAAGGACCCATGCCGGTCGGCACCGTTTGTTGTGTCCACTTCTGCTGCGTCTGGATCGACGTCGGTTCCAGGCGCTTGCTTGCTTGCTTACTTGCTTGCCTGCTTGCCTTCCTGCGTTGGCCGAGCATTGCCTGCAGCCTCCGCGGTAGGGGATTGTCGAGACCCCGCATCGCTAGTCGCGCTCGGATGCTCCATCAAGCAAGTCGCACGATTCCGCCGGACGTTCGGACGTTTGCCTGGCCTCTTGAGGTCAAGTGGCCGGAGCTGTCACGCGCGCTGACCAGCGGCGAGCAACATGGGCATGGTCGCGCGTGTTCAGCGGCGCCGACGGCGATGCGGGCTGCCTGGCGGATGGCTGAAGCTTTGACGTCCGTGACGTGATTCCCATCCATCTGGCCCCGCTGCACGAACACCAATACTGTGGCGGGGGCGGCAGCGTGGCAATGACGGGAGCGCCCCTGCCGAATATGGGGGAGGCAGAAGACATGGCGCTCTTCCAGCGCGGAATGATGCGGACATAACCGAGGGGAATACAGAAGAGCTATTGTTGAAGTGACCGTGGGCAATGCCCTCGTCGACTCGACGGTCGAGTGCATCGACATCCTGTCCACATTCGCGCGCAACTACATGTACGAACCTCTTTCGAACGAGTCACGCCTGCTTCGATCGAGCAGTCGAACTGCTGCGCCGCTGAAATTTTCAGCATCAGCTCTGATACGCCCTCGATCGAGCTCTCTGCGCGCGTCTTCTTCGCCGACACCATGACGGGCTCCGAGCCGCGGATCGAGAAGCTCATTCAGCAATTGTCTTCGTCACCACCGCACCTCCCCGTGTGTTAACTCGCCAGCTGCAACGTCTTGACGGTATCCGCTGACTAAAGTTAAACCATGTCCTGCGCCACCGCCGCACCCAAGGTCCGTCGAGACTGCAGCCGCCCGCGCGTCAGCCGAGAAGGAGAAGGAGTGTGGACGCCCGGTGAGCACGCGCGCTTCCTCGAGGCCGTGGAGCTGTATCCACACGGGCCCTGGAAGCTCGTGGCCGCCTACATCGGCACGCGCAGCACGCGGCAGGCCATGACGCACGCCCAAAAGTACCGTCAGAAGCTCGAGCGGCGGCGCCGAGGACTGCGGACGCCCCACTCGAGGCGGCCCAAGGCCGTATCGGTGGAGTTTTCGCATGAGCAGTCTCCGCCGAGCTTCGAGGCGCTGATGATGGCTGAAGCTTTTGTGCTGGGCGACGCGTTGAGAGGACCCGACGCCTGGTGCACGGTCGAGCCCATGCCTATCACCAGCGGTGGTGCTGCGTTGCTGCAGACGGAGGGACCGGACGTGGTGTGGGTCGACGAGTGCCTCAGTCTTCTCGTCGACGGCTTCTCGTGCTGAATGAAGGAGACGCTCTCTCTACTTTGAAAAGAAAAAGCTTTACCGGACGAGACTAGCACAACGCGCTCGATACTTGTATTCCCAACCGTGAATGTAATAATGCACACAGACAGCACTTCATACGCGCTCCATGCGTTGATCTCTCCTCGCGTTATCCTCTTGCTCTGTAGTGTCCCGGTGGTGACGCGACAGTGTGCATCTGCGTCGTACGGGCGGCACCTCCACCGCCCTTGACCGTGTCATCCGGCCGCCAACGCCATCAACGCAAACGATGCAGCAGTTGAAGTCGAACCCGCTGCAGCAGCTCGGGTCCGGGCCGTCCCCTCCGCTTGCAAGCATGAGCACCATCAGAGACGTGAACCCGATGGCGACGCCGGCCACAGCGACTGAGAACAGGAAGCTCAGGACGATATCCGTGTAGATGTAGATGACCCCGTACGCGAACTCGTCCACCGCCACCACTTCGAACATGCACGTGGCGTCCCACGTGAACCACCCCAGCAGGATGAACTGGAAAACCAGGGAGTATCCGAACGCTTGGCTTGTGACGAAGCGAGTGCCGAAGACCATGAACAGCGCACACGAGGCGCACACCACCACCGCGAACGCCAGAGCTCCTGCAACTAATGGCGACATGAGATGCCTCCCAGGAATCAGACCATTAACTCGAACACCAACCAACAAGACCATGAGCAAGACCCACGTGAACGTGGCCCCGCAGTTGAAAAAGCCGATGTGCGTGTCGAAGGTCACGCCCAGACCAACAAACGTGGCGGCCTGCGCCGCGCTGAACCACATGAGGATCAAAAGGTTGATGTAGCGCCGTCTACACTGGTAATAGAGAACACCGAGCAGTGCGAACGTTACCGCCGCTGCAACGCCCACAAGCGCAGGGCCGTGCTCAGCAAAGGCTGGAAGCACTCGATCGCGCACGGGCGGGTAGAACGTGCCCAGCCCAACCGCGACCCACACTGCGAATAGCTGCAGCGCCAGCACCAGAAGCAGTTTCCGACGGAACGCAGCTTGTGGGCCCAGAGGCAGCGACGTGCTCACATCCAGTAGCTCCTCCGAGATGTACCCCTTGTTCCAGCACTCAATTCTCCTAACAACGTAGTCAGGTTTAGCCGCAGACGGTAGCGGGAGGACGGGCGTCGCCTCTTTCTGACGCGCATGACCTGCATCGATGGCGTTAGTCAAGTCCAGCAGTACGAAGTCGACACCCGAGTCACGAGCGCTGCTGGTAGTGCCTAGCTGCGACGGCATGAGAGGCGGAGTCGTCCTTACGAGAGCTTGGCGCTGTGGGTCTGTGGACGTTGAGGCCACGCCCGGAGTTGAGATGTGTCGGGCTGGGAAACATCAAGCGCGCTTGACTACACGCGTGTTGTAACGGAGCCTGTGCGCCACTGAAACCACGAGAAGATCATCGAAGAAACGTCTCCGCTTGTGCAGTGTTTCCATTTCAGTTGGGACAGGCTCTTTCGCTGGACGCTCCGATGCAGACTTCGCTTCGAATGCTTGTTCACAGAAGTCTCCCTCCGCGTCGACCTCCACCTGCTCTCTGCTCTTACAGTCACTGCAGTCTCATGCGTCGATGTCTCCCAGACTCTCGAGAATATCCTGCTGTTGAATCGGCTGGGCGCGTTGAAGCAGCGCTTGAAGCTCCAAGTTGAACGCGTTAGCTGCAGGAGCTGTGCGTTCATTTTCCATTGGTGGGTCAAGCGAAGCTGGAGGTTGTCGACGTGGTCGACCGCGCTGTGGGGCCCGAGGGAGCGAAAACATGGCATCCGAAGGAGGAGGAGCCGGCGCTTCGCTTCCTGTTGTCGCCACCGACGGAGGGTCATGATCCACCTGCTTCGTCAGTCCTGGCTGGGCGTGTGCTTGGCGGTGGGCCAAGACGTCGCGCAGCTCGCTTACAAAATGTGGAGTTGGGGATGCTGTAGCGCTAGCGTCGGCTTCCTGCTGTTTCAGCAGTGCCTGCAAGTCGAAGCCCTCGTCACCAGTGCTCGTACCAGTGAAAATCACAGTGTAATTGGGATCCTCTGGAGTCGGGACAGAGGAGGAAGCAACCACGGCATCGATCGGTTTGGCCTCAGGGTCTTCACCTTCCTCCGCGGCATCTCCACTCGTGCCTGGATCAGTGTCGTCTTCGCAACGTAGTGCGCTGAGAGCACTATCGTAGCCATCCCATGCTTCTTGCAGGTGCCGAGCCATTGCTCGCATCGCTTCACGGGAGTCCACCAACCGTTCTAGTATCGAATCACCAGAAACCATTTCGTGTTGGGCAGCAATCGTCAAAGCAGTGAGCGTCTCGCTCATCGACCGGAGCTCTTGAAGCTTGATGGCTACCCCCTTTAGTCGAACATCAGCCGCATCGGAAGATGCCACGTTTGGCCGCTCCAATGTGTTCGACTCCGGTGGAGAAGACACCAGTTTTGCAGGACCGCTCGTCGTGTTCCATGCATTGAGATCGGTAGTCCAAGTGTTTAACGATCCGACCAGCTCGTCGACCGCGGCCCGGTGAGATCGTAGCGTACCAAAGAGGTTGCAACCAGCAGTCCGAGAACAACACGCGCGAGCAAGTTTTCGTACGAGCTCCGAACGCATAGCGCTCTCTAGAAGCAGCACACCTCGGTTGTGCTGCTTGGCGAGTGCAGTAAGTAGCAACGACGGAGCTTGAGCGTCTGCACTATCGCCGACTTGATCCTCGATGCTTCGGGTTCCGTAGGTATCCTTCCTGTCACCCCCTTGCGAGAATGCAGTGGTTTCTGCTTGTAGCTCATCACTCACTGCTCGTAGCTTCCTTCGCAGCGGCAGACAACGCAGTTGGTGCTTAGCAACAAATAACTCAGCGTTCTCCTCGCCTCCGTCTCCGCTATCTTCTGCGTTGGCAGCCTCCAGCCTGCCGATGGGCGGCAGCAACCCAGCCCCTAGTCTATAGCCGCGGCTTGCCAGCTCCGCGCGCTTCATCAGCGCCAAACCGTCTTCATAAGTCTCGTTAAACCTCCCCACCGCACCGTCAAAGACGTTCAACGACTCCACCAGCTTCCGAGATCGCCGTGCGTAGCAGGCAAGCAGCCCTCGTACACTCAACTCCAGCCCCAACACGAGTAAACCAACAGCGGCAAAGCTCCACCCCATCAATGCACCAGCGTTCTCTCTTCTAGCAACTAGCACCGCTGCCAGAAGCACCACCAAAGCCCCGCCAGCCGCCGCCACCAAGCTGCGGGTCTCCTCTGTAATTCCTTGGACGCCTCTCAACAGCTCCACTATCGCAATCTTCTGCCTCCACCAGCACCCGTCGACTCCCCGCTGCTCTGCAAACACCACCGCATCCACCCCCGGCGCCCGCTGCAGCTCTTCCCTACCACTCACTCACTCGTTAGACCACCACGAAAGTTGCGAATCTGTCGCCACAACTCACCGAAGCGTCGGGTGGAACGCGCTAAGCTGCGGGATCAATCGCCGCACCGTCAGCAGCTCCACACGTCGATGAAGAAGCCCCAGCAATTGCCGCCAACCGCACGAGCTCGACGCTGTGAGTCTCGTGGGCCGCTTGGTGGTCGCAGGATGGGTCGCCGTCAGCAGCTGCGCCATTGACTCGCCGGCGCCCCCCTCCGCATCGAGTTCTTGCACGGCAACAGCAGATATGCAATCAGCTATTATTCATTGCAAATATACTTATCAACGCAGAGCGTGCGTACCCGCCAGGTACTGCCCCAGCGGCGACGCGGCCGCCACCACGATTTCCATGACGGTGATACACTCAAAAATAGTGACGTCCCCATAAGTAACATGGTGTGGTCCACGCATGCGTTGCGCGACCCATGCTGGACCGATTCAAGCAGCCATTTGCTGACGCGTCGGCTAGAGGATCGGAGGAGCTCCATGACTTGGCGTCCCCGGCGCGTGCTGCTGCTGGCCGCGGCGGCGCTGGCGCTGACCGACACCGCGGCCGTGGACCGCAGCAAGTTCCGCACCTGCGAGAAGACGCAGTTCTGCAACAAGTTCCGCAACGTGCAGCGCGAGCCGCTGGCCGCGCAGCTGCAGGTGGCGCGCGACAGCGTCACGCCCGACGCGGACGCGAAGCTCGTGCGCTTCCTCGTGGAGGACGCGGCGCAGCGCGGCGGTGTGGCGCTCGAGGGCTCGCTGACCTTCGTGCTGGGCGAGGACAAGGCGCGCGTGCCGGCGCTGCGCGTGCGCCTGCGCGAAAAGTTCGCGGACCCGCAGGACCCCAAGACGCGCTGGACGAGCGACGACGTGCTGGTGCCCGCCGCGGACGAGACGCGCGCGTTGCGCCAGGTGACGGCCGCCGAGGCGGGCCTCAAGACGCCCGTGGACGACAAGGACGTGCTGCTGTTCGCGCCCGAGGGCGACAAGCCGCAGGTCGTGGCGGCCTTGAAGCTGGGCGGCACCTTCGGCGTGGACTTGTACCTGGACGGTGAGAAGGCCGTGTCCACGAACGACGACGGCCTGTTCCACTACGAGATCCGACAGGACCGCGCGGACGCCGAGGCGCAGGCCGACGCGGCGGCCGACCAGGCGGCCGTGGACGCCCACGGAGGCAAGACCATTGTCGACTACGGAGAGGACGGTCTGGCTATCTACGACGACGGCACGGTGCAGAAGAAGGAGGAGCATTCGGCCACGACCACGGCTACTGTGGGCGCGGACGGCAAGGTTGAGGGCTGGGAGGAGTCGTTCGGCGGCCACACGGACAAGAAAAAGTTCGGCCCCAGCTCCATCGGACTCGACGTGTCCTTCCACGGCTCGGCCGCGGCTCCCAGGACGCTGTACGGTATCCCCGAGCACGCGACGGACTTCGCGCTGAAGGACACGATTGAAGCGGACGAGGGGGGCGAGCAGACGCGCAAGGTGGTGACGGACCCGTACCGACTGTACAACCTGGACGTATTCGAGTACGAGCTGGACAACCCCATGGCGCTGTACGGCGCCATCCCGGTGCTTGTTGCGCCCAACAAGGAGAACACGGTCGGTATGTTCTGGAACAACCCCAGTGAGACGTTCGTGGACATCTGGACGAACGAGGACGCGCACAGCAAGTCGACGCACTGGCTGAGCGAGTCAGGTGTGTTTGACCTGTTCCTCCTGGCGGGCCCCAGCAGCGCTGAGCTGTTCTCGCAGTACACGCTGCTGACGGGCCGCGCGCAGCTGCCGCCGCTCTTTGCCCTCGGTTACCACCAGTGCCGCTGGAACTACAAGAATGAGGCGGATGTGGCAAGGGTGGACGCCGGATTCGATGAGCACCTGATCCCGTACGACGTGCTGTGGCTCGACATTGACCACACGGACGGCAAGCGCTACTTCACGTGGGACGAGCACGCCTTCCCCACGCCCAAGGACATGCAGGAGTCAGTGGCGCGTACTGGCCGTAAAATGGTGACGATTGTCGACCCGCACATCAAGGTCAGTCAGACAAAGGACAAGCAGCCGTACTACATTCACACTGAGGCGGAGGAGCTCGGCCTCTTCATCAAGGATGAGCAGGGCAACGACTTCAAGGGTTGGTGCTGGCCGGGCGAGTCCTCTTACGTTGACTTCACGTCGCCCAAGGCGCGTGCGTGGTGGCGCCACCAGTTCCGCTACGAGAACTACCAGGGCAGCACCAACCACCTGTACACGTGGAACGACATGAACGAGCCGTCCGTCTTCAACGGCCCCGAAGTGTCCATGCGCAAGGGCTGCATGAGCATTGCGGGCGTTGAGCACCGCGAGTGGCACAACCTGTACGGCACCCTCTTCCAGCGGTCGTCTATGGAGGGCCAGCTTGTTCGCCAGCAGCCCCCGCCGGAGCCTCTCTCGGCATTTGCTGAGGAGCTTCAGCTTACGTCGGACATGCAGCGCCCGTTTGTGCTGTCACGTGCGTTCTCTGCTGGCTCGCAGCGCTACGGTGCGATCTGGACCGGTGACAACACGGCCGAGTGGGGCCACCTCCGTTATGCGACCAAGATGCTGCTGTCCATGTCGGTGGCTGGTCTCACGTTCGTTGGCGCTGACGTGGGCGGATTCTTCGGCAACCCGTCCACGGAACTGCTCACGCGATGGAACCAGGCCGCTGTGTACCAGCCATTCTTCCGTGGACACGCGCACCACGACTCGGCTCGTCGTGAGCCGTGGGTGTTCGGGGAGCCGACGACGTCGCGCATTCGCGCCGCTATCCGTGAGCGCTACTCGCTGCTGCCATACATCTACACGCTCTTCTACACGTGCAACGCGCGCGGTATGCCGGTCATGCGCCCGCTGTGGGCGCACTTCACGCAGGAGCCCCAGAGCTTCAGCGAGGAGGACCAGTACCTGCTCGGCGACGCCCTGCTTGTGAAACCGATCGTGGAGGAGGGTGTGGAGGCGACGCACGTGTTCCTGCCTTCCGATGGAGCGGAGGACAAGACGGTGTGGTACCAGTTGACGGACGGGTACAAGCGTTTCTTCGGTGGCAAGACGCACGAGAACGTGCCCGCGCCACTGGACGCCATCCCGGTGTTCCAGCGCGGCGGCACCATCCTGCCGCGCAAGCAGCGCGTGCGCCGCAGCTCGGAGCTGATGCGCGACGACCCGCTGACGCTGGTGGTGGCGCTGGACCAGCACTTCAAGGCCCGTGGCGAGCTCTACGTGGACGACGAGCGCTCGCTGGCCGCGGAGCTGGAGGGCGAGGGCACGCTGGTGTCGTTCGAGCTGACCAAGGACGGCCTGCGCTCGACGGCCGCCGCCGCGACGCAGCAGGGCAAGCGCTACACGTCGCTCATGTGGGTGGAGCGCATCGAGGTGTACGGCTTCCAGTCCGAGGCCAACCTGCCCAAGCAGGTGCTGGTGGGCGGCGAGCGCGCCGTGGAGTTCCAGTACGACGCCGCCAGCGACCGCCTGGTGCTGCGCAAGCCGCAGGTGCTGGTCACGGACGACTGGGAGCTCCGCTTCGTGTACGACCAGGCCCTCGAGTGATCGTAGACGAGGACCGAGCTGCAGGGGGGAGTTTGTTGAAGTTTTCAAATCAGATAAAGAGCTTGCAGGTGAGCCATCACATGCACATTTCGCCAGCTGGCCAGCGGCGCCTTGCCACTGAGCCCGTGCAGCTACGTAGTGGGTGCGTCTAACTAAAATGCAAGTCTCTGCTAGTTTTCAATCGATGTCAATCGATTAGTCTATGGTCTCACTCTATCGGCGGCACACGCCTCCATTCGGATGAAGCCGGCGATTACAGTAGTTCTCTCGCGCGTAAAGACTACCGTTAGACACGCCCCTCGCTGGGTTGACTCAAACGCGCATGGAGCGCAGGCATCGTTCGCAATCAAGGCGGCGCAAAGGAGGCTTCCTTCCAAGAGTGGCCCTCACGGCGGGGTCTTGCACGGCCAAGCATGAAGACACATTGAAACGTCTTTGGAGAATTTTAGCTACCGTTTGCAGCACAACGCAATGGATGGTGCGCAACAGGCTCATCTTTGAAGGAGAACCAACATCGGTAGAACAAAGTTGCGTCGAGTTCCGGGTGACGGGAGTTCGTCAGTTGAAGGCAATAGCAAGGAGGGACACGATGAGTCCACAAACAGTTGAACAAGGCAAGTTGATGGAGGACTGTATCGACAGTTTTCTATTAATCCTTGAACAACCAGGACAAGTACGGGTAAGCAGCATGCAGCTACCAAGAGAATCGCCATTAGTGGTGATGATGAAATCTTCTTTAGGATTTTAATGGCTATCATAGTAGTCCAAATAAAATCTCTTCTACTACTAAGGAGGCTTCCTTCCTGCCTGCCTGCAGTCTGTCCTCGGGGTGTTGGACTAGTCAGCCAGCTAGTCAGAAGTCAACCCATTTGTGGCGAACCGTTACTCACGCAGAGCCCCACTTCAACTTTGCTGTCCGAAGATCGCCATCGTCCGCTCGTTCTCGCCCACGCTGGACTCGAGTGATTTCAAGGCGGAGATCGCCGATGATATCGCCGGGCTCTAGATTATCGCAGCGAAGGCAAGCGTAGTGCATGCTACAGCGAGGGTAGAGGCCACTGCATTGAACCGCTTCGAACGAGCACCCAGCCGGCGGCGGATCAGGAATCTTGTCTTTGCGTGTGTGCCTGTATTGGCGTTACAGAACGGTTGACGGCTGGCGCCAGTACTTGCGGAGCGCGTACCGCAGGCAGCGTCTGGTTGCAGCGCCGGCCGCTCTCGCCCGCGGGGTGCAACTGGACGGAGGTCAGATGGAGAGGAAAGTCCGCTGCCGTGCTCACCGCGACGCCTGGGGCGCGTTCGAGTGATACCGACGTTGTCTGTCTCCGTCTTCCTCCGCCGGCCCAGCCGGACGCCATTCTCCTTTTCTCCCTACTCGAGGCAAGCCTCTAGTCCCCCGCTCCAGACTAGGCCATGAAGCTCAGCGCCATCCTTCTCGCCACGGCCGGCCTCGCGTCCACGGTCTCCGCTGCCATCAGCACCGCCGGATCGGCCGCCGCCACGACCACGACCGCAGTCGAGTCGGCCACCAGCTCCAGCGCCGGCACTGCGTCTACCGCTTCCACGGCCGGGGCCAGCACGGCCTCGTCCTCTGCTGGTGCTTCCACGACGGTGGCCAGCTCCACTTCGGGCACGGCCTCCTCGGGCAATGCGGTCACGTCGACAGGCTCCATGGACGACGTCTTCTCGAGCCTCAAGACGCTCACGTACCCGTCGGACTCGTACCACATGCCCCCGGTGCGCGCCGTGCACGCTCGTGTTCAGAGCGACGCCCCTATCCTCGTCGACGGTGTGTTTGTCTCGAGCTTCGGCGGCGGCGAACTCGAGGCCGGCTACCTGAGCGCCATGGACACGGTCAACACGGCGTCCGTTGAGGGCGCGCTCATGTACGTGCAGGCCGAGGGCATCAACGTCAACGTGCGCGCGGACGAGGAGCGCTGCGAGCGTAAGTCGGGCATGGCCAACATCGTCTTCTACGAGGTCATTATCGCGCAGACCAACGAGACGCTTGCCCAGTTCCAGGACTCGTGGGGCAAGACGCCCGAGTACGGGCCCATGCTGCCCATGGACAGCGGCCGCTGCACGCCCCTCTCGGGCGACGACGACTTCCCCGCCGGCTGCCTGCAGTTCAACGGCGACGACGACCAGCCCAACGTCGGCCCGTTCGTGGGCGGCGGCATCAAGGACGACGACGTGCGCGCGCCCTACCCGGACAACTACTGGTTCTCCTTCCCGAGCACGTGTCCGCTGGAAGGCTGGGGCGACAAGACGGACGAATGCCGCAATAGCACGCGCAAGGGCCTGTGCGCCTACGGCCAGGGCCCCGACGGCGTGGACTGCACCTTCGCCTACAACATCCTCGGCTGGGTGACCATCGACGACATCGTGGGCATTACGGCCATTGAGAACCCTGACACCGGATCCACGTACGCCAACTTCACCGAGTGGTGCAACGCCGACTCGAACAACACCGAGTTCGCCGCGGACGCCGAGAGCGGTGAGATGGAGACCGGTCTGCCCTTCTGGGAGGACCCGCTCAACTCGACGGCCAACGCTGCGCGCGCTGAGGCCGTGGTGGCCAAGTACGAGGAGATGCTCAAGTCGGGCTCGACGCAGATCGAGGACTCGCTGATCCAGGCCTTCAAGACGCTGCCCACCCCCGAGGAGCTCGCTGCTGCCAACCCGCCTTGCTTCATGACGGTGGAGGCCTGCGGCTCTGGCAACGGATGCAAGCGCGTTGGCTACTCGCAGCTGTGCACTGAGTGCGAGGCGGACGAGGGCTGCGAGACTGGCGGCAGCGGATTCGAGTACCCGACGCTTGAGAAGGCCTTCACCACGCTGTCGGACAACGAGACCACGACCAACTTGGGCGGCTCGGGCAACAGCACCTCCGCCGCGTCTGGCTCGTCGGCCAGCTCCAACACCACAAATGCCGCCTCGCCCCTGACCTTCACGACTGCATCCGTCGCAGTCGGACTTTTGACCGCTGTGCTGGCCCTGTAGAGCTGATTAGAAAGATGATGATCAGAGCGATCGAGAGGAGCCTGGACTCGATCGATGTCCATTTCGCTTCCGAGCTTTTGACAAGTAAAAAAAAAGTTTCATTGTCGAGTTCTTCTTCACCAGTTCTCGGGTCAAACCACATCCATGTCAAGGCGATCGGTTGTACCGGTTTCAAAGCAGCGGCTGGTCACGACTCATGACTCATGAACAAGGTTTAAGAAAAAGCGGCTATGGGGAGCTCAACGTTCTTGTTGTCATTCTATGATCACATCCGTAGGTACTTTCGATCGAATCGGGAGATGCTGGAGATTCCTCGATGATGGGGCTGCCAAGCCTTTGGGCTAATTTACAGCTTCCGATGGTCGGCAACCAACTAGCCGTGGGGGTAGCCAAGAACTATCCTATTGTAACGAACGGGGTGAGTCCGGCGCAACTATAGTAACAACGATTCTTCGTCTCTGTTTTTTTCTTCTCGGCTACTATCGGCTTCGTCGTGATGCTTCGCAGGCAATACTTGTCAAGTCGAGTGTTGTTTGGACGAAGATATCCCGAAAACTTGTAATAGCAAAAGACGGGAAGTGAAACCATTACGCACGAGATTTATCATTGCGATGACGGAGTCTTGAGTGCGGCGTGTCCTCGTCATACATTAGTCGTCTTGCTAGATAGAGATATCCAAATTGTGCGAATCATCCCGTCACTTTTAGCGATCTTCACGACAAACACCCAGGTCATTTCCCTTTGGTATTGCTGATCTTGTCAAGTTCAACCTTTAGAGAACTTCAAATGAAGCGGATACATGCTTCCAAAACCCCGGATCAACAACAGCGTCAGAATACAAAATCGGTAAACTCTGCCTGCACGCAGCACCAACACCCCGCATAAAAAGCAAATATGCATCTTTGTTTCTTCTTATCCCCTCTGCATCTTTCCAATACTCTTCTCCCTCCGCAACCAACTCTCCAAAAAAGTATCTTTCCCACTCCGCTTCCTCCGCTTCTCTCAGCAACAGCCGCTCTTGGCCTTGCCAGTGTCCACGTGCGTGGCGCCCCGCACCCTGAGCCCGCTACTTCTGGAGGCCGCGGGGTTGAAGCCGTCGTCCTCCTCCACAATCTGAATGGGCTGGCCCCTCCCGCCCCCGCGACTTCTCGGCGGCTCCTCTGCTCTTGCCCCCTGCTGTTGCATTTGCGCTGGGTGCTGCTTCTGCACCTGCTGCATTTGCTGTTGCTGTTGCCGGGTCGACGAGGAGGAGGAGGGGGGATGCGCCCGCACGTCCTCCTCGTCGTCGTCATCGTCCGCGATTAGCGCGCTGCCCTTCTTCTTCTTGCCGCCGGCGCGCTCCAGCATGCGGCGCGTGAGCTCCACGAACACGTCCTCGAGCCCGCGGTTGAGCTTGGCCGACGTGTCGAAGTGCGCGGCGCCTACCGACTCGGCGTAGCGCCGCGCCTCGTCCTCGGGCACCTTGCGGTTGCGGTGCAGGTCGCTCTTGTTGCCGGCGATGCAGATGGAGATGTCGTCCCCCACGATGCGCCGCAGCTCGCGCACCCACGTGCGCACCTTGCGGAACGACTCGGCGTCCGTGATGTCGTAAACCAGCAGCGCGCCGTCCGCGTCGCGGTAGTAGATGGGCCCCAGCGCGTGGAAGCGCTCCTGGCCGGCCGTGTCCCAGAGCGAGAGCGCCACGCGGCGGTTGTCTACCAGCAGGCGCTTGTCCAGGTACGAGGCCTGCAGCGTCGACACCTGCCGCTCGTCGTACTCGCCCTTGATGTAGCGCAGCAGGATGGAGGTCTTGCCCACGCGGCCTGGGGAGAGAGGGGAGGGGGGAGGTTAAGATAGTGCTAAAAACTTTGTTTCTTCTTCTTTCTGTGTTGCATGTTGCCAGTGTCGCCAGCACGCACCTTCGCCGAGCAGAACGACCTTGAACTTCTTCGTGGAGCGCTCGCCCATTGTGCGCGAGAGAGACTGTTGGTGTATTTAAATGGGGGGGGGGGGGGGCAGACGCTCCTTGTCGCTGCGGGCTGCTGCTGACGGCCTCGGTCGGTTAGAGACAAGAGGCGCGGCTTCCGGCGGCGATGCGGGCGGAGCGACAGCCGGTTAGGTGAAGCGCTTGGGCCTTTTTGCCTTCTGTTCTTTTTCTTCTTGGTTTGGCCGATCGCGGATTGGCTGAAAAGGCCTTATTTAAGCCAACCGCGTGCGCTCACACAATGTGCACAACGTGGTGTAATCGCTTCAATCAGCCTCTTCGCGATTGCCGAGATGCTGCGCCACCGCGGAGCGCTGGTGCTGCCGCTGCGGCCGCTGCTGGCGCGCCGCGCGACATCCGACACCCCCCGCCGCCTGGACCTGGACGATCTGCTGGGGCAGCGGCTGCGCGAGACGGCGCGCGAGCTGTCGGTGGAGGTGCTGCCGGCGCTCAAGGTGCTGGCTGAGAGCCTGGGGCTGCTGCGCCAGAGCCCCGCGCTGCGCAGCTGGAGCGCCTCCGACTGGCTCGTGGGACTGTCCGTGCTGGCCCAGTACAAGACGCGCCAGCGCGCGGGCGGGCTGCATGACGAGGCGCACAAGAAGCCGCTCGTGATGGACCAGGTAATGTGGCAAGCACCTAAACGGCAACACCTAAACGGCACCATGCAACACCTAACTCTGTCAATATCCAAACACTGTGAGTTAAGGGTGGAAAGCTAATTGACAATTATTGTTTTGTGGACGTATATTGCAGAAATTGCTGTCCAAGCTGCTGCGCTACGTGCGCGTGTGCGACGCCGTGTACGCGTCGACGGTGGCCGGCTTCTGCGAGGAGGCCGGCGTGCCCCGAGAGCGCGTGCTGCGCGCGCACCCGGGCGGAGTGGTGTCGCCCAAGTGCGTCATCGTGGCCGACCACGAGCACCGGGAGCTGGTGCTGGCGGTGCGCGGCACGGCGTCGCTGCTGGACTTCTGCACGGACCTGTGTCTGCAGAACGAGCCGTTCCTAGCCGGCCAGGGCCACCGCGGCATGGTGCACGCGGCCACGTGGCTGGTGCGCCACCTCCGCAACGATCTGCAGGAGCTCTCTCAGCAGTACCCGGACTACCGCGTCGTGGCGACGGGCCACAGTCTGGGCGCGGCCGTGGCGGCGCTCAGCGCCATGCAGCTGCGGGACGAGTTCCCGAGCATCCACTGCTACGCGTTCGGCACGCCCGCCTGCGTCACGCGGGAGTTGGCGACGGAGAGCTACGACCTCGTCACGACGGTCGTGAATGGCTACGACTGCGTGCCGCGCTTGCACCAGCACTCGCTGCTGGATCTGCAGGAGGAGATCCAGCGCTTCGACTGGCGGGCAGCGCTGCGGCAAATGGTGCAGGAGGAGATTCGCAAGCAGAAACTGGCGATCGAGAAGCAGCAACGCGCCAAGTTGGAGGAGCTACAGGCGGCACTGAGGAAACTGGATCGCCTCCAGATCAAGCAGAGGACGAGCGAAGCAACGGCGAAGCTGGATGAAGTCAAAAGGGTGCGGTGAACACGGCTATTTTGTGCTGTCTGGTAGATGGAGATGGGACTCACCTTATTTATTGCTTTGTTCTCAGCTTGCGTCGACGAATATCAAGGAGTTTGCGATCGATGTCGACACGCTTCTGGCTGACAAGCTAGACGCTGCTTTCTCGGTCTTTAAGACAGATAAACTTTCGTTGGAGCACGTCACGTTCATCAAGAATCTGCTCAAACTCGAGGACGTCAAGAAAGGTACCGAAGTATCACTTTTGGATTTTGAAAAGGGAACAAAAAATCTGATGTTGACAATGCGTCTTTGGTGCTGTAGGCGACTCGTTCTGGTGGAAGCGCATGGACGAAAGCGTGCTTGCTCTTGAGCGACTGTCTGCGGCTGTCAACAAGCCCGAAGAGTTGGAGCGCGTGCTCGTGGAACTGAAAGAATTGCTGCAGAAAACATCGGCGACAACAAGGATGCTGCTGAAGAACGAAGGCAGTTCCTGTGAGTTATTTGCCCGCGAGTTCGTAAAGTTGACAGTTCTGACGTCTCGATACGTACAGATCCTGACGCGGAGTCGACTCAGCTGCAGCTATTTCGTGCTAGAATCGATGGAATTATCGACAAGACACGCGCGTCGCTCAAGGCACGCATCAGTGAGAAAGTGTACGTAGTCTCGATACATTCGTCAGAGGTATTGTGGACTTACAAGATGAGCTATTTTGTGTGTGTAGATCGAAGGTGTCTACAGCTGTTACTACTAACATGAAGGACTATGTGGATACGCTAAAAGAAGAAACAGAAGCGTTGAGCAGCATCGTACAGGAAGAATTGGACGACGTGGCCGATACAATGTCAAGAAACTTGCCGTTTTTCGTTGGACTTACGACTGACGTTACTGAAGCCAATAAGTCGTCGGCCGAGAGGGCAATTCATCAGCAGAGCGATCGCAGTGGCGAAGAGTTCGCGGATACTGGTCCTTCGGAGCGGATTGAGGGCGAGCTGAATGAGGAGGCGGTGCAGCAATGGGAAAAGCTGAGACTCGATCAGAGACAGTGGGAAGAGGGCAACATGCTGGGTCACGATCCGTTGTTCCCGCCTGGACGCATTCTCTACTTGAACCGTGTCATCGCACCAGGACCTTCGCCTAAAAGCGTGGTACATCTAAGCAACGAGCACAAAGTACCGGACGTTGTGGAGTTCGTGGAGGTTGCGACGGACGAGTTCGGTCGAGTAGTGCTATCAAATCGCATGCTGCTCGACCATCTCTGCACGGACTACGAACGCGTTCTCCAGTCGCAGGCGAAAGTATTGGAATCGGCGCCCAGTTGCACATGTGGATAACGTAAAATACATGTAACCTCATCGAATAAAACGCCCTTCGTCCTTGCGTAGAGCGCTGAAGAAAAATAGAACGCTCTCTCTAAACGCTATCTTTTACCTAAACAAAATTTAATGCTGGGATAGGAAGCGACGAAGTGCTGATAGCAGCCCAAACAGGATTAATTCGCAGTTCGTTAGAACTGACGATTGAGGGATTGATGTCACAAACCGGTACACTACCGGTTTTGAAGAGAGTGCTCCACAACCGGTGTAACACCGGTTGTGCAATCAGGGAGTGGGAACCTAATCCAGCCAATCAAGCGGGCTGATTTGGCATTATTTTTTGGAAAGAGCCAAAGAGATACATACATTGTGCACTGCATGCCAGTACAAGCCCGAGTTACTTTCCCTGCATTCAAGAATCTGCTGCGAGGGTTCTAAGCGCAGCAACCATGACAGTTCTTGCTCGTTTGTGCCGTAGTTAAACGTGATGAATCGACTAACGCCATTGTATGGAATTCAGTATTTTTTTTACGTGCTTCGTATATAGATATTACTGGGATAAGAAGCAACGTTAGTGTTGATACCGCAGACCAAATAGGATTATATACGTGGTACGTCAAGTCGAACGATGATCCCTCTTGACATCAAGCTGGTACATTTTCTTGAAACCGGTACGAGCACCGGCCCTCCAAAAGGTTTAAATGCGTGGGCAGATCCAACCGGTGTGCAACCGACGACACTGATATGATTCAGTATATATATTCGAGCAGTGAACGAATTGAAGTAAAGATAACGATTGAGGCGGACTCTAATAGCACTAGAGATAAGCATTTGCATTTTCAAGTATAAAACTTCTACAAGCTGCAAACAGATCTCAGCCAAGGTTCGCATTTTTAATTTTGTAAAGCATTGCCACTTGATATCTAGCATCTACAGTCTTAAGGCCAATTTCTGGGCAGATGCTGCGGCTGGGAAGCAGGCGCAGGAGATGACCGTAGCTCATAAGAAAAATAATCAATTAAAATGAAGAGGGAGTTTATACCAAAATTCTCCTATCCCAGGCTTCGCGGGGCCCTAGTTAAAGCAGTATCGGTTGACACGGCTTTGGTAGGTGTGTCCAGTAGCAGGCTGTAAGCTAGGAGACTCTACGGTACGTGCAAAACTAACAACACGCGCATAAGTTTCTTGTGGTATCCTTTTAGAATAATTGGAGGGCAAGTTGGTGAATACATCGTGGCATGGTGCATTGAAATCCAAGTTTGGGTGCTCTATTGGTCTGACATTAGGGCTGCAGTTGCATATCGTCGGTTGCTGTTCATACAGCCTCGTGTCGTTGCATGCATTGGATGCTTAGTAAACTCGTAAGTGTATTACTGACTACAGAGTTTTGCTCTATCATGTGATAGTTTCTGTGGCCGTGCACCAGCGGTGGCATTGCTAACGTTTATTTCTGCTTTTTATTGCAATTTCGTCGGCCAGATATTTAGCAATGACAATCGTGGAACGGGCGAGGCTGTCGGCGTTGAAGGCTACGTTGCTTCGATTACTGTGGCACTTGGTGAGCTTGAAGATGACATGAGCGATAGCGGAAGGGTGTGTAGTGCAGGCAATCTCCAGCCTGCCCCAGCTAGCAGCAGTACTATTGGTCGCAGTCAATCACGGCAAACGTGATGACTGCGACAATGAATCTTGCGGATAACGCAAAGTAAGATTACAGTGCCCCGTGCATAACGGGATCCTGATGATCAGGCAGAAATCAAGCGAACTATAACAAACTAGATGCCCATTTAACGACAACTTAGATGACGGCAACTGTAGCTCCACTGGTTAGCAGGAGCCGCAGCATTAGGAGTAGCTCGTGTCCTCACTTTGACTTTTACCAAGTAATACACTTCGGCCACACTTTCAGGGAGCTCCGCCAGCTCCCATCCGTGTCTTCATTCTGCAGACACTACAAATAATTGTTTAGCAGTACCTGCTGAACCAAGACCAACATGACGAAGACTAGAGCGCAAAGATCGAACTCACCTGACGACGATGCAGATCGTGCGTCGGCCCCCATCTTCACCCCCATCTTGCCGCCGAGGATCACCAGCACGTCCCACGCTGCTTTGGTGAAGTGGCGGAAGGAACGCCGCGAGTACGAATACACTATCCTCAACCGTGCGAAGGGTGAGACGGACGATCTGATTGTCCCGATCAAAAACACGTTCGACGAAGGACTGCTCAGGCAGTGGTGTCGCTTGCGTTGGAAGATGTCCATGTCGGACGTCACCGACGAGACCATTCTCACCGAGGTGGACAAAATCATCTCGGCGGTGAGAAACAACAGTGTGCCGGATATTGACCAGGAAATGGCCGAGCACCTACGCATGGATTTAAGTGAGAGTGACGTGCATGAGAGAGTCATTCAATACTTTAAGCTGTGCCATGAGATTATCGACGACCACGGGTGGCGCATTTTCTTCACCGGTGACGACGGTAGGAAGCAATTGTGCTCCATTTTGATCAAGTCGCTCGAACCAAAGGCACTTCGCGAGGAAGTCGATCGGACTGCACGTTTTCAAACGTGCAAAGCGCGCGAGGACGAGGTGGTTCTACACGACTTGATTCTCGAGAAAGCCCTCGACCACGAGAAGGCCTACCAGAGCCAACGACGCGCCAAGCGCCACCGTGATCGCGGGGATCGTGACGCCGAGCGCCCTGCCATGCGCACAGGCATTAAGAAAACTGCCAAGAAGCAGAGGTTGGCAGGTGAAACAAGCGGTTCTGGCCCACGGCCATCTCCGAAAAGTCCAGCAGACCGACCAAAAACCACGCCAACACCATGCCCACACTGCGGTGACCTCCATTGGTTCTCCGAGTGTAGTAAGGCCACGGATAGTGAGAAAGCTGAAATACGCAGGAAATTGCGTGCTCAGCGTGGCGACCAAACCAAACGCGAGGTTGCTCGACTCAAGCGGCTCCGGGAGTGCATCCCATCGACTGAGAAGACTGTCACGCTGAATGACGTGATGGAACTGCCGTACTGTGCCGACACTGGTGCCGACCGAACAGCTATTAGCCAGCGGCATCTTGAAGAGCTCATGCTTCGCGACCCTGCGATCAAACTGACCCGGCTCAGTACACCATTGGTAATTGTCTGTGTTGCCGACCATGCGATTACCTGCACCACATCGGTGCAACTTCGGGTGCTTTTGAACACCGCGTCTGGGCCAGTCGCAATTCATGAACCTGTGGAATGCCTCGTTATCAATGATGACGATCCAGAATTCATTCTGGGTCAAGACCTGCTCAAGCAACCGGGCATTGACGTCGACCGACAGTTAGAACAGCTCGCCGAGCGTGAGGCTGACGACGGTGAGGACCCAGTGGATGACGACGACGGTGCACCTGTCTCTAGCTCGCCTCCAACAGATGCCGACCTCCACCAAGCCGTTGAGCGTCTTGTGCAAATGGCACTACAACATGGATTTCCCAGGCACTTGGAGGAGCAGCTCCGCGCCATTGCGATCAAACACGACATCTGGCGTATCGAGCTCGGCAATGACCCTCCGGCTCGTGTCAAACCGCTTAAAATCCGTCTCAAAGACGGAGTGAGTGCAGTGAAGATCAAGCCACGCAGATACCCACCTGCCGTGCGAGTTTTTCTACGCGAGTTTAACCAGAAGCTGGTCGACCTCGGTTGGGCTTATGAGAATCCGACTAGCCGTTGGGCCAGCCCAGTGCTGCCGGTTCGTAAGCCGGGTACCACCGACGATGAGTACCGACAAACCTGCGACTATCGGCTTGTCAACGATCTGATCGAGGCGCTGATTAGTACCATGCCTCACATGAGCACACTGCTAGAGCACACCAAGGGTAAGAAGCATTTCGGACTGTTCGATCTCCTCAAAATGTTTTGGCAGCTACCTCTAGATGAGCTTAGTCAAGAGCTGATGTCATACATCACTGACGCAAAAATATACACTCCTCGCCGCGTGCCTCAAGGGTGCTGCGACGCTGCTGTGCATTTCCAGCAGACAATGGAGCAATGTTTTGAGTCGCTTTTGTACAAGTATCTTATTGACTGGATCGATGATCTATTGCTCTTTGCCGATGACATTGACACCTCCTTGTTGAAGTTAGAGCAATTCTTTGACTTGGTGGCGTCATTTGGGCTGAAGCTCAGCGCGAAGAAGAGCAGTTTGTACCACCAATCTGTAGAGTGGTGCGGTCGGATTATCACTTGCGATGGCATCTCCCATCACCCAGAGAGGATCGACGCATTGCCGTCAATGCCGTACCCGGCCACTGCCGGCCAGTTGCAGCAGTTTATCTGCGCAGCTAACTGGATGCGTGAGTCTATAGCAGACTATGCTCGGGCTGTTGAGCCGCTCCAGCGGCGACTCGACGACGCCCTCCGCAACAGCGAGCGCACAAAGCGTGTAGCTGCGGGGATTTCGGTCGAGCTAACTGCAGCCGAGAAAGACGCATACGATCATGTGAAGAGCTTACTGGCAAGTTCCGCCACACTATCTCTGCCGGACGATGCGTCTACGACCTGCGTATTCACCGACGCCTCGGATACAGGCTATTCGGCCATCCTCACCCAGGTGAAGGACTTTGACCCAAAGGTTCCGATCACCACGCAGAAGCGTCAACTGCTCACGTGCCTGAGTGGAACCTTCCATGGCTCACAGCTGAATTGGACTGTCATTGAGAAAGAAGCCTACCCTATTGTGGTGGCCTGCTAGAAGCTAGATTATCCACTGCTGCGTGCAAGACCTTTTCGGCTATTCTGTGACCACCGAAACTTAATCCACGTCTTCGCACCTCACATGAGTATCAAGAAGCACATACGTGGGAAGCTGCTTCGATGGGCGCTCAAACTGATGACCTACCGCTGCATTATCGAACATGTTGACGGGACCGCCAACATTTGGGCGGACATGCTTTCAAGATGGGCTGGCCAGCCCACGACTACAGTCAAGTTGAAGCGATTCTCCCAGATGAAGGGTAAGAAGCAGCGGTCATCGACGAAGCCGCCAGGACAGCAAGCCCTGGATACTCGACTCAGAAAGCTTCACGTGGCCAACACTGGACGAGTTCAGGACGTCACAACAGCAGCACCAGGCACCCGCAAGGACAGTGTGCTACGAGTCGACCAGCGGATCTGGGTCCCTCGAGCATGCAAAGACCTCACTCAACGGCTCTATGTGATCGCCCATTGCGGGGCCCAAGGCCACCGCGGCGAGCAGGCCATGGTTAACCACCTGCGCCGAGTTTTCCACATCCCTGACCTACGGAGCGTCGTGCACACATTTGTGTCGGCGTGCATGTTGTGCCCACATGTAAAGGGAGGAAAGATGATTCGTCGCCCATGGAGCGAAACTATTGAGTGCAATGAACGAAACGGAATCCTACATTGGGATTTTTTGTCCTTAGGAGAATCTTTTGGGAACAGTAAGTACCTATTGGTGCTGAAGGACCATGCATGGTCATTTCTGCGAGCTCGTAGTGTGCGATGCGGCGGACAGTGCCGCTGCCACTGCAGCCATCCTCGACTGGCATAGCCGTTTTGGAGCCCCACCAACGTGGGTGAGTGACAACGGCAGCCACTTCAAGAACGAAGTGGTCGCAGAGCTTTCGAGAAGGCTCAAGAGCCAGCAAAACATTACTTTGGCGTACAGCCCATGGATCAACGGCTCTGTTGAACGCGTCAACCGCGACATACTACAAGTGCTAAGAGCGATGACCCTAGAGTACAAAGTATCAACGAAGGACTGGGTCTACCTCGTACCGTTAATTCAAGCCAGCTTGAATCACACTGCCCTACCTTCGCTCGGCAATCGAGCACCTGTTGAACTTTTCACTGGACCACCATGTCCATCGCCTCTCGCTGAGTTCTATCACCCTGGTGACCACAAGCTAGTCACACTGCCGCACCATTCGGCAGAGATGGACAGATACCTAGCAGAGCTGCGAGCCAGTTTGTGCGCAATGCACCAGCCCATCGCTGACCAACGCCTCAAACAGCGGCTTCTTAACAAGAAAAAGGAGCGAGGTGAAAACGTGGTCAACTTTGACGTGGGGGACTACGTCCTACGTTCACGCGTTGATGAGAAAAAAGGCAACAAGCTACTCGTCACGTGGCAAGGATCGTACAAAGTGGTCCGAGCGGACGCTCATTCTTTCCGAATCCGTCATTTGGTGACAGCGGATGAGTATGATGTACATGCATCACGTCTAAAGTTCTACGCGGACAACAAGCTCAACGTAACGGAGGAAATCCTAGAGCATGTTGCCTCCCAGGGCATCATACTGGCAATCAACGGGTTCAAAAAACACCGATGGAACACCTCCATCAATGACTACGAAATTCTCGTAAGCTGGAAAGGCTTAGAGTCTGTCGAAGACTCGTGGGAACCGCTCAAATCACTCGCCCATGAAGTCAAGGTTCTACTGGGTCAATACATTCAAAAGCAAGACGCCACGGTGCGCAAGTACTGTAAGGACCTCCAGTAAAAAAAACAATACAACCTGATGCACAATTTTGCCAAAATCAACATTCTTCTCCAATATCGGATTCGGTTACGCCACCATGTAGCGATGTCGTGTTGTATTACACAAAAATATTCCGATGTTCTAAAACCGCATATTGGTCCCACAACAATTCGGAACGGGCAACTTCAACACGTTGCACCTGTAACACTTGTTACATAGTATGGACATGGGTACACCTGTCCGCTACATCTGGTACATAAACCAGATTAATTTGTCTAGCCGAAACAACTTAATCGCCGCTAGCTAGACCAGGCTTGGGGGGGCAGTGTAGTGCAGGCAATCTCCAGCCTGCCCCAGCTAGCAGCAGTACTATTGGTCGCAGTCAATCACGGCAAACGTGATGACTGCGACAATGAATCTTGCGGATAACGCAAAGTAAGATTACAGTGCCCCGTGCATAACGGGATCCTGATGATCAGGCAGAAATCAAGCGAACTATAACAAACTAGATGCCCATTTAACGACAACTTAGATGACGGCAACTGTAGCTCCACTGGTTAGCAGGAGCCGCAGCATTAGGAGTAGCTCGTGTCCTCACTTTGACTTTTACCAAGTAATACACTTCGGCCACACTTTCAGGGAGCTCCGCCAGCTCCCATCCGTGTCTTCATTCTGCAGACACTACAGGGTGGCAAGATCACTGTGACCAACTACTACCTTAATCTACCCGATGCGACGTGGAAAACTAGGTTGAAGGCTGCGCAGCTTGGCAGTTTGTGAACAGGGTGATGACATGACCGGCATAGGATGGTCGGCAAACGCCCGCCACGACCTCTCTCGCTATGACATATCTTGCTGCTGCCGCAACTCCGAGTCCTGCTCCTTTTTCTTCGCTTTCGTGGGCCGGGTTCAGATACGAACTGTTGTGCACTGAAAATATAATCTCAAGGTCGGTACACATATTTTTTCTTGCAGTTCTTCAAAAGCTGAGTAGACCACGACTGTGTGGTAGCACACAAAATAGCACTTGAAGAGAGTAAGGACTTCGTACTCTCTTCAAAACCGGTAGTGTACCGGTGGATATACCAGTTTGTGACATCTATCCCTCAATCGTCGACAAACGACAGTTCGAACGAACTGCGAATTATAATGACTTGGTACCGGTATACCTCTCCTTACCGTAGTGTATGGTGATTGATTGGATGAAATAAGTAGGTTTAGGGTTGCAAGGGGCCTCGACCTCCCCCAATTTTACTTGGCTATAGTGAGCTTTTGGGCCCCTCGGACGAGGGGCCAAGAGACTGCTCACAGACTTTCAGTAAGAGCATCGTCATCGGAGGGCCTTAAAGTAATGGTACATAAGTGCACGGCGCCCCTTCGTCTCGCGGTATCACGACGGTATGAGCACGTTGAATCGCCTTTGAGACTATGTCGTGGCGACCTTAAGGCGATTGCGCGGTAGAATTTTTCTGTGTCCGTATTCTGACATGACATGAATTTGGATCTGGCCCTCCCAAATACAACAATCAAGATAGTCCCGGTGCAGCAAATCGTACATATGCGAACAGGATAGGCGACGTCGATTGTAGCGACGCAACAACGATGTAGCATGACAGTGTGAGCAGCGCTAACTGCGAGCTTGTTTGCTGCATGCACAAGGTTTCGACGCCAAGCAAACCTCAAAAGGTTGTGTGAGTAGGTGGCAGGCAAGGTGAAGCCAAATGAGCCTGTTACCTGTTGTGTTTATCTGAAAGCGCCTTCAGGCTCAGATTCAGCAGAAGAATGGGTCATTCCTCCCATAATCTTCAGACCAAACACCATGTCATGTCAGAATAAGACCATAAAAAAGCTAACCGGATTGCGCAGCAACAGCGAGTCGTAAAAGGGCAACCACCGCCCAGCAGCTTCAATCATCTTATCTCGCACATGAGAGTGTTCTTGCCTCAGCAAAGGGCTTGTGTTGTTCGGCGGGAACGTCTAGCTGCAAGATTTAGATGCGATGACGAATTGTTGCATTGCTGCCTAACTGACACTGCTTCGTGTACACGTCGTGTACTACACGATTTGATGCAGCGTACTTAAGTAGGAGCTGCCGGCA